CGGAGGGCTCTCTCCCCTGTAAGGGCTAGAAGTGGCCCTGCCTGCTGGTCCCCACTTCTCTACTCTTACTTTTCCTCATTCCCTGCAGAGTTCCACAGAAACTTCTAAACCACACACCTCCCCACTGAGGCACCTTCTCTTCTCAGAACCAGTGCCTTGGGCCTTGGTAAGCTTCTCTCTTCCCAACCTTAGGTAGCAGGCTTTTCTTATGCGCTCTTTGATGTTTGATACTGCAGCCACTGCTCCTGTAGCCTCTACTATCCCCCACCTAAACCATGTTAAAGCACTGGCCAGCCTCCTGCCTCAGGGCCTCTCACCTTTAACCTAACTTGTAAAACAGAAATGGGCCACACCTTTTTAACTCCTCCCCACTTATTGGTCCACATGGCATGAGACATGGCCCATGTGTCCTTTGTCTGCTGGCTTATCATGTCCCTACAATGCCCTGGTCATCTCCTGCCTGAGGGCTTCCAATCCCTCATCTTCCCACATTCAGACATAGGAGCTACCTCCTCCACAGCCCCTTCCCACATGGCCCCCAGCATCCCAGCATCCACTTTCTGTTTGCTAATGCTTTTCTTTTCATGCCAGCAGGTGATGGCATACTTTAGTTGCAGAATAATTTTAGATGTGCAGAAGAGCTCTATAGTACAGAGCATTCCAGTCTACCTAGCCCTCCCTGGCTTCCTGTAATGTAAATCAACATCATATGTTGTCATTAGTATATCTGCCATAAATAGGAAACCAACAGTGGTCCTTGTGTCTTTTCAACTTCAACTTAAACAAGGATGTCTGAAATTTAGCAGGTAGGCAAAACCATGCTGCCTGTTGTGAAGAGGAATGGCTGGCCAGAGTGTGTACCTTGGATTTCTCCAAACAGAGCGTGGACATGGTGAAGTGGCTTCCAGAACACCCTGAGCTGGCTTTTGGTGACCTTATGGGAACCCAAATTCCCAATCTTGCTCCAACAGGCTGATACTCATGGCCTTCATCATGTTAGAAGATGGTGACTTCACACTTGGATCTCAGAAGGGATCATAATGGAGCCAGGGGATGGGGGGGGGGGGGGAAGGAGGAGAAATAACATCTATCAAAAGAAATAGCATCTATCAAATCAGGCTTGCCTCAAAGTTCAGCTCGCCTGCCACGAAGAAAGCATTTTCTATTCAAAATGAAGCTAGGTGAGAGGAATTATGACTCCTACATCAGATATCTCACTCCCAGGAACAATTTATCAGTGCTACAGAGCTGTCAGCACTGACATGATAAGGAATAGCACCAAATGAATAATGCCTTCCTCCAATACCAACTCCTTTAATTATTTAACCTTCAACAACAAAAAGCGTGTTGTACAAAATGTTCCTTGGGATACATTAGAAAATATCAATTACATTGCTCACTGAGGTGTAATCAGCTGTAATAATCAAAATTAATTTTTAAAAATAATTAAACAGACCCCAGGGCAAATAGTTGATGCTCTTATCCTGTGACATCACAGTGTACACATGGACCTGAGAACTTGTGCCTTCTGGTAGTGACAAAGGCAGCTCTCAGAGATGAGTGATGGATGTCGGGTCTGAAGGCTGGTGAGTTTCATCTGAGCAGAAGAAGAGGGAGCCTCCTACTCCCTCCTTCTGGACCCTTCCATGCCTATTCTCTAAGCGCCTGCTCTGTGGCAGGTACTGTGCCCAGCCCCAGACCGAGTTACCTATGTAGAACACTGCTAAGTAAAAGTGCAGTTCATTTTTAAAATAGCAACACAGTCCCCTTTGTTTCAAAACTAATTTGTTCTTTTTAAATTTTTATTAGAATATACGCATTGTATGGGGGGAGAGAGATTCATTGTGATAATTCCAAATAGACTTATATTGTCCATTGGTTTGATCACCCCCACCATCTCTCCACCTCAACCCCCTCCCCGCCCCACTTTAAGCAACTGCAAAGGTTTCTTTGTTCTATTTCATATAAGTATATGAAGTCGATCAACCATACACCCTCACCTTAATCTCCTTCATTCACCCTCCCCCCTCCCAGAAGTACCTCCCCACTGTACCAATTTTACAGTCCTATCTTTCATTATTAATTTCTAAGTTTCTAGATGTATCCCCACTGTGAGTCTACTTTATTTTGGTCCATTCAACCCCTTCCATTACTCTTCCTTACCTCTTTACCTCCCACCCTACATTTTCAAAAGCTTTTGATACACATCATCATATCCTCCACCTTCACAGATGTTGTTTTACAATATCACTGATGCCCTATCTTTCTCCTTTCCTTTCCCTTCTTCCCTCAGTTCCATAGAGTAGTTCCACTATTACAAACACGCTCTGTATAAGAGTCTGCATATGATACTGCTTGTTTTTGTGTATATGTTTGTCTTTTGGACCTCAGTTCCATAGAGTAGTTCCACTATTACAAACACGCTCTGTATAAGAGTCTGCATATGATACTGCTTGTTTTTGTGTATATGTTTGTCTTTTGGATCCATCTTCCACATTTGAGGGAAAACATGCAGTTTTTGTGTTTCTGAACCTACTTCACATAACATGAGGTCCTCCAGTTGCATCTATTTACCTTCAAGCTACATATTGTCATCATTCCTTATGCCTGAATAAAACTCCATTATTTGTATATATACGTATATATGGATATGTGAGTGTGTGTGTGTGTGTATATATATATATATATATTATATATATATATACCACATTTAATTTATTTTTTAAAATGCTTAAGATAGTTTAAACTGTAGAAAGGACAAATAAATCAGGTTGAAGGGAAAGAAGGAGTCCAGCAGAAGGAAGAAGCCAGGGAGAAGGTGTGTGCTTTAAAGAAATCTCATGAGGTATGTGCACAAAGCTAGACCATGCGTGCCTCTCTGAGCTTCTGAATGTCCAGGCATAACCACTTGCAAAACTGCTACACTGATTTGCTAAAAGCACAGTTCTCCCTGGCACTAAAAGTTGAGAGTGATGTCCCCAAGGCTTCATGGAAGCTTAGCAGCCTCTGAGCACCTCAGTTTGGCCACGCCAGCATTTGCTCCCCTGGGACACTTGAGCATGCACCAGCCTGAGTGCCATGGTACAACAGCCCTCTTTGCCTGACCTACTGGCCTATTCATGACCTCCTCATGGGTCCCATGAGGCTCATGTTCATCTTAAATCCTCTCTCTAGCCCCACGACCCCTTGGCAATTTCCTCCACCTAAACTTCTAGCTCCTTTTTTACCACCTTCCCACCCTTTCCCTGCTGGAGCTTTCCTCACTTCAAGCAGCACCCCAACATTGAGTTGGCTTATTGTCCATCTCCATTCCCTAGAAAACAGCTCCAGAAAAGCAGATGATAGGTCAGTTTTGTTCTCTGCTGTAACCTTCAAGCTTAGACCAAGGCATGAAGCAGGCACTTAACAAATATCTGTTGAATGGCTTCTGGTAGTGACAAAGGCAGCTCTCAGAGATGAGTGATAGATGTAGGGTCTGAAGGTTGGTGAGAATACTGTATTCAAAAAACCAGTGTTACTGGGTGTGGTGGTGCATGCCTGTAATTTTAGCATTCGGGAGGCTGAGGCAGGGGGATTACAAGTTCTAGGCCAGCCTGGGCTACCTGGCAAGTTCAAAGTCAGCCCAGGTCACATAGTGAGACTGAGTCTCAACAGATAGGAAAAAGGAAAAAAAAAAAAAAAGCAGTATCCTTTAGGGTACAACCTGAATAAAAGTTGGGTGTCTCCTCAGTTTGAAGCACCGGGTGGCTGCTGACCCAGTCAAGCTCGGTTCTGATCTCCCTTCCAAGCTGGGCTCTTTTTCCACACACTCTGATTCTCAAAGCTTCGCAAGAATAAAGTTCCTCCCCCAGCTGCTCAGGCAGTTACTCCTCTCTTCTCCCCATCAGCCACTGGCCACCACAGACGAGATTCTAAGCAGATGGATCTGGGGCCATTTCATGTTTCAAAGTTGATGTGCCTGCCAGCTGTCTGCTCTGCTTCCCTGGGGAGCCCGTTTCCCCTTCCCAAAGTGATTTATCCCATTGTGAGGATAAGGAGCTATAGACTTAGGAGAGTTAAGGAATTTGCCCAAGGTCTCCTGACCCCAAGTCTATGGCCTTTAGCAACCACAGTCACCTCTGAAGGTAAGTCCGTGAGTCCAGCATTAGACTATGAGACAGTGTTTACCAAAACAGCTTCAGCAATATTTCCAGGCCCACAGGTTCTTGTGGAACTTTGCCCTTCCCCATCAAGAGTGGAGTTCAGTTCTTTTGCCTTGGACTCGGGCAGAACTTCATCCCTGTCTCTACCACATGACATATGAACCTAGGTCAAAAGACCTAGTAACTTCTGCTTGGTGAGATATTTAATAGTTCCAGATAAAGTCTCAAACAAAAGCCGGCAACCACCAGATATGTGAGTAACTGAAATTTTGATGATCCCATCTAAGGCCCCAGGCATAGTGGAGCAAAGACCCCACACACACCCTCTTATGGTGCTACAAATTCCTAACAATGGTGTTCATGATCACAAAAAGTCATTGCCTGGTGCCACTGAGTTTTAGGATTGGTTTGTTATGCAACTTAGAAAAACCCCAAGTACTCTAACCCACACAGTCAAAAGGACCCACCACCATGGGTATCCGAAATGGAGCCAACATGGACAGTCAGGCTTCTGTTCTCCTGTGCTGGGCTCACAGACTCAAGACCCCCCAAGCAGTGGGCTAGTGGCCTCTGAATACACATAACTGCAGAAGAGATGGAAGCAATGATCAGCTTGGTTTTTAATTCCATAAAGAACACCTGCTCCTGGTACAAAAGGGAAGCCCAGATTGACTTCTCAAGTTAAAGCTTGTCTAAGATCTGGCTCCCCTATGCATAGACTCAACTGGGAAGCCACACATATTTTTGGACACTCAGAAGAACACAGAATTAGATCAAGTGCAGTGATAGCGGACAGTGACTCATGGGTTTTGAAGCAGGTGCCTGAGACACCTGTAAAGACAAGGAATCTGGACTCACCTCTGCCTTGCACTCAGGATCCTTGGCCTGCCGCCCAGGCATCAGTCTCATGGCTGAGGACAGGCTCCCACTCCATGAAGCAACTTTGCTGTGGTGTGTGACACTTGAGCGACTGGCCAGTGATTTCTTCTCAGATGCTAGGGATAGGGAAGCAAAGTATGTCAGAGGTAAAGTTGAAAGGCAAGAACACACTGTTTCCATGGCTGACTTGGCTGTCAAAGGACCAGCTGGGGCACAAGTTCAGCATGCCTGCACTTTTCCCTTTTTCCAAAAAGGGAAAGTGCCTGGGCTATAGGCTCATACTGCCATCTTATCACCCCTTCATTAACAAACATAGGATGGGCTTTGGGGTCACCAGACCTGGCTTGAACTCTTCACTTCATGGCTTATTGATTTGTAGTGAGCTACTGGAGAAGTTAGCTAAAGTTGCTGAGGCTCAAGGTTCTTATCTTGTAAAATAACAATAATAGCATCTCAACTCACCGGAATGTGATGAAAATTACATATGATTATGTGTTTAAGGGACCTAGAATGTAGAAACAGTTTAATAGATAGCCATTGGCCAAAGAGCACTTACTTAACTATATTTGCATGGCATGAGCACGTATGTTCTCTTTTATCCTACTCTTCCCTGAAATAGAATCTGATATCTAGACTTCAAGGTGTAGGTACATGCACATAGGTATTTCTATGCCTTGAATGTGTTTTCTCCAAAATATTGGAACCTAATCCCCACTGTGGTAGTACTAAGAGGCAGGATCTTTTGGGAAGTGGTTAAGTCATGAGGGCAGAACCCTTGTGAATGAATTATAAAAGGGCTGAAGGAAACTGAATCAGGCCCCTTTTTCTTCCATCCCTTCGACCAGGTAAAGACACAGAGTTCCAAGCCTGTAAAGGATTCAGCAACAAGGCCCACATTGAAAGCAGACAGAGCCCTCACCAGACAGTGAATTTGTCAGTACCTTGATCTTGGACTTCCCAGTCTCCTGAATTGTCAGCAAATAAATTTCTATTATTAATAAGTGATCTAGTCTGCGGTATTCTCCTCAAGCAGCACAAATGGACTAAGAAAGATATGTGCATACATATTTGTCAGGACCAAGTAGGAAAGCCCATTAGGTTTTATACCTCTGGACAGTCTAGAACAACATACATGGAAAGAAATAACTCTTAAATCACTGTGGATTTTGTTTTGCTTACAGACTTAAAACAGGATATTAGCTAAAATTTGAGAGCAGTGACCTTCTCAAAAACAAAATTAAAACCTCATTGCTATAGCTGCCTTGACTAACATGAAGGTAAAAATGTTGAGACCTGATCACATGAATAGTTTGGGGATGAAGATGTTCATCTTATGAAGTGACAGGACATAAGGAATTGGAGGCCACTGCATAATTAGGTGCAAAGTTTCAAGGCCAGTAGGTGAACATCACAGTAGAACCTAAAGCTCAAGTTTCCAAGTCCATGCCAGAGCCCTGACCCAATGGCCCATCCCTCCAACAGGCTCCTAGAATCTGCTGCTTGGTTGGCACTTTTGGCCTTCCCTTTACCTAACATGCATGAGTCTTTGTGAGGAAAGACCCATGATGTTTCAATGATGTAAATCACACCCACAAAAGGGATGAGACAGAGGGTCTGTGTAGAAAAGGCTCTAGGCCCCTAGTGGAACCTTGGGGGACTCTGACTTGATGACACCCAGGAGCTCCCATTTGCTGGAGCTGAGTGGACAGAGACCTAAGTAATGCTGCCAGGCTTTGAGCATCGTCTCTTCCCAGAGTGGGGTGACCTCTTCAATCTTCACTTCTTTCTCTCCAGGTTTCACAGAGAGATCGATCTTGAAGGTATCCTCCAGTGTCTGCCGCCTCTGTGCCACCAGCTGCTGCCAGAGAGTCCGCACCGTTTTCTGAATGTTGTGCTGAACTAGCAGACAGAGAGAGCGCAGCATAATCAGGATCACCTCACTTGTCCCAGAGAGGGCTAGCAGATGGCATATCATGACTGCTTTTACCTACATGGTTCACTTAATGTCTTGAACATGACCCAGCTCTGCAAGCTCCAGTCAGAAGTAATCAATACTTAGAGCCACAGACTGACAATCCTATCAACACCCATGCAAGCTGAACTTTCCCCACCTCCAACTACCCACCACCAAGTTATTCTGCCTCACATGCCTAGGGCTGGAAAATGTGATTGAAGAGATCAGGGAGCCTCATTTTCCCACCCACCACACCCAATTCTGTTGGATACCAGAGAGATAACTTAAATGAGCCCTTATAAGTCAAACATTCCCTACCAGCTCCTAAACACCCTAAACAGCTCCTTCTAACCTTCTCTTACATTTTTGCATCTCTGGGAAATGGACCCCAAATACAAGACTGTGCGCAGGGGCTCAGGACTTGGTCCAGTCTTCTCTTCTAGCACTGGATCGTGCTTTCCCACCCCTACCTCCATGCCTGGGATTTTCTCAGATCTGGGCAGATCCACCAAGCCAGCTCTGCTCACTGAACCCAAATCTATAGTCCCCTAAACTGTACCTTAATTTCCTCTGATCTTGAACCACTAGGTCCCTCTCTGATGCTAGCCCTCTAGAGTCTGTTTTGTTACCCTAGAGGGGTGGACAATTCCCAGTCCAGCTCTACCAGCCATGTCCCACATTGTGTATGTTCATGCTGTAACAGACACCATGTCAGTATAAACTTCAAAGTTCCAACAATTTTAAGCAATGGCTTTGGGCCCCTATCTGACCAGAACACAGATTCACTTGAGTCTGACATCTCATATCACAAAGTATCCTGAGGTAAGTGGCAGTCTGCTAACTTAAGTGGCTAAGAAGGTCTACTTCAGCTTCTTGGATCAAGAAGGAGAATGCAGGCTCTCAAACACAATCCCTTTATAAAAGTCTTATAGGAAGTAATGAGTTTATTTACTCCCTTCCCATCTTCTAGAGAACAAAACTGAGAGGTAACCAAGTGATGGCATGAACCAGGTGAGATGGCACTTAATCTACAGTGAAGTGTGAAGTGCCCAAGGATTTCAGTAAGTGGGCCAAGCTTCTAGATTAACCAAATCCCACAGACCCTCTTCTCCATCCATCCATCCCTTTCCATTTCATTTCTAATATACAGAGATCATTCCAGTATTCTTTTCTTCCAGGTTAACTTGCTGTACTACTTACTATTCCACTCTGGGATTTCCTAGAAAATTTCAAAATAGTATTTGCTTTCTTAACTTGAGAAAGAAAAATAAACTAAAGAATGCAGCAAACCTACTGGTATGACTACCCATCCACATCCACCAATGCAAGAAAAACAAAAAAGCACAGCAAAAAGTAAAATAAAATAAACTGTACCATCACTCAAACTTGGGAGGTCTTCCTCTTTTTTTTCTTTCACTTCTTCATTTGAGGCAAGAAAGACTTGATGATAAGGAGTCATTCTAGGCTTGGGTTCTAATCCAAATCCCTCTGGATAACTAGAAGACAAGAGAATTTTCATTATAAACTCAAATTCCCTTGGCTCCATTCCATGGTTCTTTATTACAAATAGCCATCCCTCAAACGCAACACATATCAATAAGGAAAAACGTGTAATCAAGTTAAAGCAAACACACTAAAACAACTTCCACAGCAGATACAGCATAATGGTTTTTCTGAGTATTCTAAAAACAACTTCTCTTTATGTGAAGTCCTATCTTGTGAAATCCTGTTCATACTCCATCAGGCCCCCTGAGCCTACTCTCTCCTGGTTCCTTGTCATCAAAACTGGTAATTTCTTTGAGGCATTCATAAAGCATTGAACTCTGCTTTTGTTTGGCACTTACTTCATCTCATGAGGCCAGAGTGGGTCTCATGGGTGTGTGACCTGTGCAACTGCATAGGGTCCTATACTTCAAAGGGCCCCATGCTTGGACTCTGCTGCTGCCATCTTGAAATTCTTAATAATTTTTTAATATGAGCCACACATTTTAATTTTGGCAGGGTTCTCACACATGATGTAGCCAGTTCTAAGTGGGAACACAGTAGTTTATATATTAGGATCCCTAGGAAGTGAAACTACATGCTCTGCTGCATCCCAATCATGTTAGTGTCCATGTGACCTCTTTCAGGGGCCCCTCTTGGCCTCCTGAGCAGAATAAATACTCAGGAAATGTTTATAAATTGAACTTAAAATGACAATCATAAAAATGAAAAAAATGCCAACACAAAAGAGTGCCAACCCATTTTTGAAATTTCCAGAATAGTCACTTTTTGATGTTGGAAGCCATTTTGCTGCACAGAAAACTGAGGGGGCTGCCATTTCAAGCATATAAATCCAAATAGCATTTTGTTCTTCTTACTTGTACTTTCAATACAGATAGGGCCTAATGAATTCTTGAAATTCAGAAAAGTAACGATCCCCAAATTTAGCCACACACTGAAAAATTGGTTCATTTGGACAAATTAAAAGACAGGTGCCCTCACCACCCCAGTGCTATTTTCAAGAGAGTGTTAGAGGAGCTCCGTTTCATGCTTTGCAATGTTCAATCGTCACATCCACAGGGATTGGGGGATTTTCAAATGACCAAACCTACACTTCATATTGGGGAAAGGATGATCAAGAAAAAGGACAAGAGCAAAGTGCACACCCATGGCTCTCTTGATAAGAGATAATGCCTGCTTCGCAGAGAGCAGGATGCTGCAAGGTTAGTGCCACATGAAGCAGGCTGAGCATCCCTGAACTAAAAGTCTGAATTCAAGATGCTCCAGAATGTCATACTTTTGAGCACTGACATGATGCCACACATGGAAAGTTCTACCCCAATCTCTTGTGATGGTCCCAGTCACAGCTGCATCAAAAGGTCTGTACAGAATTACCTTTAGGCTGCGTGTACAAGGTATATATGAGACAAATGAATTTTTGCATTTAGTTCCAAGTCTTATCCCCAATATATTTCACTATATATATGAACAGACTCTAAATCTGAAACACTTCTGCAACCAAGCATTTTGGATAGGGGATACTCAACCTGTGTATGCACACTACCTGCCATGTAGAGGGCGACAGAGATATCTAACACATTTTTCAAACTTCGGACTTTGAGAAATGGTTTTTCTATTAGTATGTCTTGGTGTTTATGGATATCATATTACAGAGTGTGTAAGTGTGTTCCTACAATGAAAATTACTCCTGGCTTGTAGGATACAATATATTATCTAATTTTTTCCATACTAAGACTACATTTATCAAATGTCAGTTTTTGAAACCTGGCTGTATTAAAAAAAAAAATCAATGTGCACACAGAATGTTGGTGTTTTTGCCTCAAAAATTAAATCGATGAAATATAACTTAAAATTGTGGAAATAGGGTAAATTGTTATTTCGTGATGATTCTAGTTGCTCAGTCATGTGGATAGGATGGGGATGACTTAGTATATTATCCAACATTGACCAGATAATCTCAAGTTTCCCCCATTAATAGTGACCTCAGTCAAGTGTCTTTCTACATCTTGTTTTTCTGCACTGACCACTGGCAGGAAAGAAGCATGCCAGCAGCTCTTACCTTCTCGAATTGAGCAGCAAAAGACAATGCATGATACACAGGAGGAAGCTGATGTTGGAATTGTATGTGGCAAAGACAATGTCCCAGTGCTCCTGTAGAAAGCCCAGGATGCTGAAAAGGCCAAAGCATTCAGACAGGGACTGCTGGGGCTTGGAGAGGCAATAAAGAATGACTTTATTTAAGCTGCTGTATAAAGCGCTGATGACAGCATCTCTTTGAGAAGAGGTGTTCTCGATGACCTGCATCATAACAATAAGACATACACACTTGTGAAGACTTTGTAATGTTACGACTTACTAAGTATGCCACAAAAATGATACAATCGAGTGACATGGTCTGAAATTCAAATAGGACTAGTTTCCTTTACCTTTGAACGTCTATTGATCATTGAGAATGATAAGAATTCAGAATTTGGGTGAAAATTTGTGTAAAAAATAAAAAGCCAAAAGCATACTATGGTCATATTATGGAAAATAGATTTGGTGACCAGAGAATTCTGAAACACTGGTAACATGGGTGACATTCGGTGTATGAAAATATGTAATATCTAATCTAAAAATTAAGTGCATCATAATTAATCATTACCATGTATAAAGTGGTTACAACATTCCCAGTATTATGCTAAATAGTGTTTGCATTGATCTGCATAAATTTAAATATATTCCTTCATTTCAATGTCATGACATCATGAGTAGACGCTAAGGTCACTCCACTTGGGGTAAGAAGCTAGGGATCAGAGGCTAGGTGGTCAGCCAGGGGAAAAACCACTAGTCATACCTATTCTTACCATGTCACCCAGAGGATATGGGGGCCCAGTGGATTTTAGTTCATGAGCAAATTAGAGGGCAAAGCAGATGGTCTTGATTTGTAGCCTTAACACTGATCACTCCACACATCTGGATTCAGTGAACATAATCCAGAGCACACACAGTCTGATAGAATTTTTCACTGTGTCAGAAAGGTTATTGTTACAGATTGCTTCCTTAGAATGATATCCATGGTGCAGGTGTTTTTCCTTCACATAGTTCATTTTGATTTCAGCCTGTTGAGATTTGGGGTTCATGTCTTTGTCATCCTTTCTAGCTGCTCTGACAGTCTGCACCTCTCAAGCTGAAGTTGAGGCCTGCAGGTGTCCCAGGCAGTGGATGGGAGAATAGGACAATGAGTGTGAGGACAACTGAGAGTCTGGGCCTGGTACCCCTGAAGTCCTGAAGGCCTGACAGCCCCAGGAGGCACCCTTCTTTGCTGTCAGCTCTGAGTATTTCTTTGACCACTAGGAGCTCTTCTCATTCTCAATACTGTTTCCCAAGAATCTGATTTCAATCCTCTCAGAGCTGACAATAAATAGTTCTTTGTCTTAGAGTCACTCCTGAAGAAACCTCCCTTTTGGAAGGCAATGTCTGGACTTGGGTATCACCTAGACCGGTGGTTACCCCAGGAATGATACACAGGCTCAGCTCTGAATATGCAGGTAGTGATTCATCTCATGGCAAGAGAAAGTCATTCCCAAAAATCAAGGACACCCATGGGTGGGACAGCTTACAGCACAATGAGCTCCTCTTTATAGGGAGGGTTCAAGCAAAAAGTGCCCAACTTCTCATCAGCAAAGAGCTCCAGAATGCAATGGGAAGCAAGGATCTCAAAAAGTCTCCATAACTCTCGAATTTTGGGTTGTGTAATTCTGTGTGAGTGTGAACACATGTGCACATGTACACACTCTACATCTAAGGATGGATCTATAGGCAGGAATTGTGTAGATCTACTTACCTGGAAAAAAGAACACAGGCAAGAATTAGGTAAAAATAGAGTCCTGCCTGCCTCAATTTCAGAAAAGCACAAAGATAACAGATAGAAGTAGATGTTGAGGAAGAAAATTAAACGAGCCCTACCAGGAGGCCAGTGGTCACCAGGCATTACCTGGGCCTTGAAGGACCTCTCCCTTTCTCTCCTATCTCAGATTCTGTTTTAAGCAAAGACTGCAGATTCAGCTGGAACAAGGGCAGCGTCCAGGAACATGTCAAGAAGCTTCCCCGCCCATCAACAAGATTCTTACCACCATGATGTGCTCTGTGATGAAGAGAAGGATGTGTCTGGGATCTGCTGAGAACATCCCGTTGTACAGCTTCTCCACCAGCTTCTGGGTGAAGCCGGAGATGTTTGCAAGGGAAGGAACAGCAGCACCTTCTGCATTTGGCTGAGGCTCTTTACTACCTGGGTGGAATGAGGAGACAGAATAACATGAGAGTTTAAATGGGTTTCTCTTCCAGTCCCTTGTAACCATGTCTTGTTCACCTGTGTATCCCATTGCTCCAAAAATAGAGTCTTTGGTAGGTGCCCAATGAACACACATTTTTTTTCAAAGCAAATTGATCTTGAATAATCTGGTCAGTAATATAAACCAAGTGATAAGAAACCAAGCAAGAGAAACTTTTCTTCCAGTGGTTTTTTGAAACAAGCATGGGGAGCCTTCAATGCCTGAGGCAAATGAAAACACATTGTGGTGATCCAAGACCCTGCTGTCATTATGGGCAAAGTATACAGCTGGAATGTCAAGTGTCCATCCATGCTGAACCAACATGACAGCCATGGTGCTTGGACCAGCATGCAGTGATCTCAGCTAATCCCTGAAACACACATACCCCCATTAACCATGACTGTCATCCTCACCCAAAGGCCAGGCCATTGCCTCAGATCACACTGCTGTCCAGTGACAGAGCCAGGATGAGAACTGGGATTGTTCTGCCTTCACTCTTCACTGCTTCTTATTCTACTATCAGGTATTCCATGAGAAAAACCAAATGTCAGGGCTACACATCTTGTGGCAAAGAAAAGCCCCCAAAATAAGTCATGTCATCAGGGACTCCTGTGGCTCAGAATCCACAGGAAGGGCTTTTGGTCAATCTTGTGGGGGAAAGTACAGCTGCCCTGGAGCTATGCTTTTTCAATGAAGCCTCAATCTCAAATTCTTGGGGGGAATGGCAGCATCTTCATCCAGGCTCACTTGTTCAAGAAACATTTGCTGAGCACACAGTCTGCACCCAGCATAGGTGCAGAGCTTCAGACGCTGAGCAAGAAATGTTAAATTTCAGCTATTCTGACTCCCCATGTTTCTACCGAAGTTATGTGAGAGCCAATTTCAACCCAGAGGATACAAGGATGTCCTGTCTCAGAGTGACACAAAGGTACAGGGGTGTCATGGAAAGTAGAAAGTATCCCATCCTCTCCCTGGGCATCCAAGCCCAGGTCAATGAGCTCCTTCTGCTGATCTGCAAAGGGACTGACCCCATAGAAGGATTGTGCCTTATGGGTGGGGTCAGCAGCTGGTGGCCACAGTGCCTTTCCTACTCAGCTCAGCAGCCTGATGTCAGGAATGGGACGGACCAAGGCATCCACTCACCTCTGAGGATCGGCACACTGCCTCCATTCATTGTGTGGAATATTTCCATGATGGAAAGCAAGACCTCAGACTGGAAGTCTCGCCTCTGCTGCTTGGTGGCATTATCTGGAAAAGCCTGGAAGCACAGCACTGGAGTGAGACAACGACCACACAGCAATCTGTCCCCTCAGTGCTCAACACCCTTTGCCTGGTGGGTACTAAGAGTATGGACTACTGACCACCCATGACTGCCCTTCTCTGATGACCAAACTGCTTCACTCAGATGGTGACACCCACTTCCCACGATGGAGAGGCAAATGGGAGCAGCCCATAGGCAATGGTTACTTAGCAGATGCCTCCAGATGAGACCAACGGTGGAATGTGATAGCACATCAGTGCCCCTTTCAAACCAGTCTCCAGCTAAAATCACCCCTGGGCTTCTCCCCTTGTACTCTGCTTCCTTCCTCCTTGTCCTAAGAGCACTCCCTCCAATCAATCACTTCTGCAAAGCCCTTGCCTCTGGCTGGGCTTCTAGATCACTGTCCTTGCTCATCTGCCACTCTGCCAGGGCTTGTGGTTTACAGACCCCATCCACATCACTATGGCATTAGGAGGCAGTCTCTATCACCAGCCTTCTACTGTCCTTAGATATGGGTGCACCCTGCCCTTATGAACCCATCCTTTCCCTGGTCACTCCCACTGCACACTACCACTAACACCCCATCCTACCCACCTCTAAGAGCACCTCCATGGGTAGCCACTGCTTGGGGCTGGGGGCTCCAAGCAGGAGCTCCCTCAAGAGGATTTGTGTGAACTCTTTCAGCTGTTTCCTGGTGGAATGTGACTTGGCAGGAGCCTGGAGACCCTCTGAGGGGCTGTCACCTTCAGCAGCAGCGTCAGAACTGCTGGTGTTCCAGGCAGGCTCGGCCACGACCTCCTCAAAGACAAGAGACACCATGTGCGGTTAGCCTTGCCTGGAAGCCCTTCCCCCATCTGCTTCTGCACAGGCACAGGCAGCAGTACCATTGTACCCATCAGCATGAGTGGAAATTGTGGCTCTAAAGAGGTCTGAGATTGGCCAGGGGCCCAACTGCTTGAAAGCGGACTACAAGGGTCTGAGAACCTGAGATAGGACAGTGTTAGGCAAAGAGGCTGAGCCACCAAATCACAGAGGCCAGCATTGAAGTCCAGAATGTGTCAAGAATAAGTCACTTCACTCCAAGCCAGCTGCCCATCAGTCAATGCAACTAGAAACAATTTCACACAGGATTAGTGGGCATGGAATGAGAGAATAATGGATGTGGCAATGCCTGGCACATGGATGGATGATCAGAGGAAGCTGGCTCCCACCTTGTGGTGTCATTCTTGCCTTTTCTCTGGCCCAGGCTCTGCTGATGCTAAAAGACAGTACCCAGGGTGAGAAAGATGGAGAAATAGAGCTACAGAGTCCTTTCAACATATCTCTAAGTGCTTTGGCACTCACTTGCTCATTTGAGATATGGGAAATGCTGGGAGACAAAGGAGACAGGGGTCATTGCCCAGGACAGTCCATGAGGACAAGGTGATGATAGGAGGCCGAATGACACACCCAAGGACACACGGCCAGGCCTCCTGGCTCCTGGTCCATGAACTGTTCATGGGCATTCATCTGTTGGCACCTCCCTTTGCTCATTCATAAAATTAATGCAGCCATTCTTAATTAAGCCATAAAATGAATTTAATGGCACCTAGGGAGGTGGTGACTGCATTAATTAGCTCCGTGCGGCCTCAACTGGAAAGATGCCATATAAATTCAAAGCAAATCGAAGACTTTTGGCCGCCAGCCTCCTGTGTGAGGCGGGTCTGTCACATTTTCTGTGCAACAAAGGCCTGGCAGCTGACTTGGAGCCGAGATGAGGAAAGGAGGTATGTGAGGAGCAACTCGGACTAGAACCAGAACCCCGAAGATGGGGCCTGGCTGGCCCACTAGAGCACTCACTGGCTGAAGAGGTAACTTTGGGCCAGGTGCTCCCCCAGACAGTGACTGGTGACTGTGGGAGGAAGAGCCCTGGGTCAGTGTTTTCAGCTGGAACCGCAATTCAGCAGATGTCAATTCTGGCCCTGGGGTGCAGTCCCTGAGCGCTGGGGTTGCAAAGTCAGGCCATGGACTCTAAGGCTCTGACTCCTACAGGGGGACTGCTGAGCAGAGGGCAAGGGATGACCTAGAGGAGGGCTGCTGAGCAGAGGGCAAGGGATGACCTAGAGGAGGGCCCTTCTCCTTACCTGGCTGGTGCCACCTGCAGTAGCCAGCCTTCCTTTGTTCTTCACTGGCTTTTCTATTGACTTACTTGTTTTAATCCATCAGAATATTTTGTAATCACATTATATTTTTTGTAAATCTCCAAGTCTTTTTATTAACACTTAGTCTTTTTATTAACACTGATTACAGTCATTCCTTCATATAAATGGGGAATTGGTTCCAGGACCCCCCTCAGATGCCAAATTCCTCAGATGCCCAAATCCCTTATGGAAAAGGGCATAGCATTTGGATAGACTCATCCCTATACTTTAAATAATCTTTACTTTACTTATTACAACTAATACAATGCAAATGCTATGTAAATGTTTGTTACGCTGAATGGTTTAGGGAAAAATAATGAGAAACAAGTCTGTACATGTTCAGTACAGACAAAAATATTTTTAAATATTTTCTTTCAAGGTTAATTGAATTCCCAGAAGTGGAACCCAGGAATACAGAGGGCTGACTGTATGCTTAAATTTTATTTGGCTATTTAATTTTATCTTAAACTGGCCATAAAGGAAAGGACACAGGCTTTGGGGTGAAAGACTGAAGCTGAAATCTTGGTTCTGTCATCTGTTAATTCTGTCATCTGTTAATGGCATAGCTCATTCTCACAAGCATTCTGTAAGATGGGTCTTATGACCTCTACTAAGCCCCAAGGATACTAAGCACCTCTGACACTCAGAGTCTCAGTTTCCTCTTGCCAACACCACCTTCCTTGGGTGCTGTTAGGGTTAAATTAAGCACTGGGCTTGGGAGTTGGTGCACCAAGAGATGGATGTTGTCACCATAGGTGTACCTCTGGAAAAGGTTAGCTATGACAGCTTTTGGTCATTTAGCAAATGAGTATGAAGTAGCCACTGGACACCCAGCCCTACATTACCATGGCTGGCTGTTCTAATACATTCCTCTAGCTACTACTAATAGACTTGCAAACAGACATCACCAGTTCCCGCTCCCTTTCTGGGTCTAGCACCTGACCTTCTGTGCCTTTTCTCATCACTCAGCTCCCTGTCACTTTTAACCTACCCGAGTCCCCCACAGTTCTGACAAAACCACCCCTTAACCTGCTGGGATGACCTCTCAGTCTCAAACTCACACATTTTTCCAAAGCCCTTTCTCCACCCTCCCCCCACCATGCAAGACCCAAGACCCTGTTCTCAAGGTTCAAGTGGGTCTTCCCGTCCTCCCTCTCTTGGCTCGTCTGGCTCTGAGCTGACAACCTCAATGGGAAGGAGGCCCAAGTCATGCCCTGAGGAGCCTGCAGAGAGTCAGGGTGCTGAGAACAAAAAGCCAAGCAGGACACAACAGTACGGCCCCTCCCTGTCTGGTGCAGAGACAATAGGCTTCCTGGACAGATATCTATTGCTTCAAGTTACCAGTACATGGGTTTCCATATAAATTCTGACTTGATATACCATCAGATTTCTCATTACTGAGATGCCTAAAAACTCAACAGAATTATCAAGTCTCAGAGCTGAAAATGACCTTGAGGTGCATCTCATCCAAGAAAAAGAAAATTCTCCAAGCTGTTTATTCAGTGTTCCAGCCAAGTTGCTTAAAGTGTGTCTTAACTTTGGGAAATGAGAATGAATTTGGCCCTTCACCTGTGAAGGATAATGACACTAATGCCTGCTCTTCCTGGAGCAGGAAGGCAGCCTGTCCTACCTTTTGTGTTCCTAGGGGGAAAGTGACAATGGCCAAAGTCTGGAGAAGGTCAGGAGCCCGCCACACTGGATCCTGAGGATAGGAGCGGTACACCAGGCCAAGGAACTGCATCACGCTGCTGGGGAACATCTGCTCCCAGGTGCCATCTTCTGAACCTGCCAAGGGCTGAGGACACATTTCATGAGACACCATGATGGCAACAGGGCTGAGGCTGCCTGAGAGAGCCAGAGGAACTGAAATCTATGGGGAAGACCTCCTTCCAGAGACTCAGAACAAGATGTTATTGTGAGTCACTTAGACTGCAGGTAAGCACTGGTATTGGTTATCAAAAGGGAAGGTTTAGCATGTGTGGACACTGTTCTAAGGGTTTTGCACACATTCCTCTCCTCATCTCACAACTCTCCTCAGTAGGTTCATGTTTACCCCTATTTTGCAGATGGGACTCAGAGACCCAGAGAGGATCTGTTGCTTGCCAAAGGCCACTTAGTGGGTAAGGGTGAGAGCCAGAATGGAGCCTCAGAGATCTGACTTTAAAGTCTACTGTCTCCCCTACACAGTCCTGTCATCAGAGGTAAATAAATACAGCCCTCCCATTGCAGAGTAGATGTTTCCAGCTATAGACTCCACCCTGGCCCATACTTGGGCACATCTTGTCTGAGGTTGGTGGGGTTCAATGAACCCCTTCCCTGCCAGCCAGGGGTCTAGAATGAATCATGGCATACTAAGCTGGTCCCCAGTACCCTGTCTGGGCATTGGTTTATCCTGCACTGTTACCTCTTTCCCCCTGGTCTAGACCACATAGCTGAGCCTCCACCCAACATCCCAACTTCACCATACTGTCCTTCTGGAGCCCAGCTCCTTTAAGCAACCACTCTGTCCAGAGACCAACTTCAAACCTGAACCAGGGCACCCAGCTGCTGTCTGAGGTCCTGTTATCCTGAATGGACACCTGGAACTTGAAACTAACAAGCCTTAACCTCAGGGTCATTCCCCACATAGCCACACCAACATGCAAAGTGACACACAGTCCACTCCTACAGACACATAGGTGGACATCAGTCCCTTCCTTTGAGAGGCTGATTGCTCAGCCCTGGGACTCCCATGCACAGTTTCCCCACCGGCCTGCCCCTCAGTCCTGGCCTGGTGTGCTCCTGTTAGAATGTATTGTTTGCCAAGTAGCTCCTGAGGGCCTGCCCTGTGCCTCACACTGGGAACTCGAATGTAATTGTAGAGAGCAAGATAGGACACATGGGGAACAGGAATCACATCACCAGGATTCAGTGAGGGTTTGGGATGAGCTGGAGTAGGCAGGCTAAGAGAAACTGGTGCTAGAGTCACCTGCACCTGGGTCTTCCTCCAGGCTCTTCTGGTCCAACATTAGATTTGCAGGTGAGTATGAGAGAGAACTCAAGAGTTTCTCTGGAAAAGGTTAGATCAAAAAGAATTAACCTAGAAGGTAACACCCACACACAGGAAATCAATGTGAGTCAATGCCCTGTATAGCTATCCTTATCTCAACCAGCAAAAACCCTTGTTCCTTCCTATTATTGCTTATACTCTCTCTACAACAAAATTAGAAATAAAGGCAAAATAGTTTCTGCTGGGTATTGAGGGGGGGGAGAGGGAGGGGGCGGAGTGGGTGGTAAGGGAGGGGGTGGGGGCAGTGGGGAGAAATGAACCAATCCTTGTATGCACATATGAATAATAAAAGAAAAATGAAAAAAAAAAAAAAGAGTTTCTCTGACATTAGTCCTCCTGCATGGAATCCCGCCTGTACCGCTTACTAACAGAATGGCTTTGGACCAGCTCCTTAATCCCCCTATACCTTGGATTATCCAACAAGGATCATGCTTGACCTATTTTAGAAGGTTGCTGTAAGGATTAAATGAGACATTTTAGTGAAGTGGCTTTCTTTTAGTGACAAGCACGGGGTAAATGCAGAAGCAGCTAGAAGATGAGGCCACGTAGAGATGGCTCGGACTTTTGGAAGAGGAATTGGATTTGATCTGCCAATCAACAAAGATCCGTGAAGGTCAAGGCATGGCCATGACCTAGAATGTGACAGGAGCACTGGCACTTGTGCCTCCATTGTGCCTGGAGGCTCTTTGAATTAACCTTCACAGCTTCCGTGTCCACCTCTCCAAGGTAGAGACAATATTGTCTCTTCTGAAGGATGGTCACATGCAGCAGAATAGCTAAGATAAAAAAAAAGAAAACCTGACAATGCAGAACATAGCAAGAATGTGACGCATGCAGAGCCCTCCTAGAATAACAGCTAGTGAAAGGGAAAACTGGTTCTTCACTGTGGAGAACCATTATCCACTAAAGTAAGTCACATGAGAGCTTCTGAGCCGTAATTTCACTCCTAGGTAGAAAGAAGTACATATGCCTGCCAAAAAGTAGATCCATAACAACTTTACTCCTGGTGTTTCCAAATTGAAATGACACAGATTGCATAAACACACTGTGATTAATTAATCACAAGAAAGTACTACTCAACAGAGAAAAGATGAACGACTGATAAACACAACTACATGAGTAAATCTCAGATCACAAATGAGTGAAAAAAGCCAGACACAAAAATATACATACTGTGTGATTCCATTCGTATTAAGTTCAAGAACAAAAAGCCTAATCAATGGTTACCACTGGGTAAGAGTGCAATATCAAACAAAGCTTTTCCAACAAAAACAATCATAAAAATAAACCTCTTTGAGAAAAATGGAGTTATTCCTACAATTCAATTTCTGGCCTATTTCTCTTATCCTTCTAGTGTTTGCCTTTTATAGTTAGGTATTTGCCTACTTTTATTTGGAAACAATGCTTTCACAATAGGTATCTTCATTGTACTAAATCTATCACTGACTGGCTTTGTTGTGTGTGTGTGTGTGTGTGTGTGTAAAATAAGAATCAAAGAGATCTTTAAAACTGCAATCACGGAAGTTCTAGAAAACAACAAAAAGTGAAGATTTCTTATAAAATGATGCATGATTATCTTCTTTAAAGAGAAAAGTAGAAAGTGAAAAAAATCGCCTGACAACCCTCACCCGTTACAAGGGAAGAGGGCAAATATAAAAATTTTAGAAACTGACAAACATGATCAGGATACTGATTAATATACTCACAATCTGGTTCCTTAAATCAATCCACAGCCTTCAGCTCCTAAATAATAGGAGAGGTAAAGAGAGAGCATGAACCCCCCCCCCAAATTAAGGGGGAAATAATCTCACAGAAAATTGAATTAGAGGAGACCTACTAGAGTTTGGTTCTGGAGTGTTCCCACCAAGGGCCCATGTGTCAAAGACTTGGTGTCACTGTGATGCTATTGGAAAGTGATAGAAATTTTAAGAGGTGTGGCCTAGTGCGAGGTCTCAGATCATGAGGGCCTGCCCCTGAAGGGAACAATAGGACTTCTGCCTCTTCCTCGCTTCTGCATCCCGGCTGCGAAGCCGGGACTTTTGCTCTCTGCTGTGCTTCCATGATCTGCTAGCACAGGCCCAAAGCAACCAGCTAACCAATCACAGACTGGAATCCCTAAAACTGAGAGCCAGCATCAACTTTCAGTCTTTACAGGTTGATTATCTCAGGTAACGGATAGCTGACTAGCACAATATTATTTGTGCAAATTGAATAAATGGGAAATTATTTTTAAATATCAATTAACTAAACTGGGTCAAGAGGAGACCCAAAAAACAAGTCAAAACTCATGGAATAAACTTGAGCCCAGGGAGTTTCACAGAAACCGTTTAAATAATACAAGAATTACGGATTTAACATCTACTTGAATATAAAGAGACCAGTCTTTTATATAAAATTAGCATAATACCAATATTAAACCTCAGGAGAATACAAGAAAAAGAAATTTGAAGCTTAATATCATTTATAAACATGCACCCAAAATCACAAATAAATATTTACAAGCAGAAAAAGGAAACACCAAAAAACAAGGACAGAGTGACTGAATGGGATCTTCACAGGAATGCAAAGAAATCTATTGATAAGCTTCATCCTAGGTAACTGATCAAAAGAAAAAGCATATTATCAGCTAATTGCATGCTATAAATCTACTTAATACAAATGAAAAAAATTCCTGATTTCAAAAAAGACAAAAAGTATGACCCAAACACTTTCAACATAACCACAATACACACATAGTGTGTGTGTGTGAGGGGAAGAAATTGGTAACAGATATAAAAAACACTAAATATACAGGAAAATAGTGTTACTAAACATATAAAAATGATTTCAACCTCAGTAATAGTAAATGCAAAAGAACTCAACTATGAAACCCAGCCCATGTTGCTGAGGCTGTGAGAACAGGGCTGAGAACTTCTGTATAAGATATTGGGGTGTATATTAGATGGTGGGATGGGTATTAGGTGATGTCACCTGCAATCTTTCTGAGAAGTACATCCAAAAGAAAATACATGAAATGGTCTTTGACACACTATCCCACACTGCAGAATTTACACTAAGGAAGTCATCAAACTAAAAAAGCAGAGATATTTGTTCAAGAAAACTCAGATTTTTTTATAATTATGAACACCTTGAAAAACAATATAAATTTCTACTACAAATGTAAATGGTTCTTATGTTTTTCCACTTTATTAACATGGAAATATGTCCACAAAATGCTGAAGAAGAGAAATCAAAGGGAGTTTTTTGGTCTCATCATCTATAAGTGAATGGTGTGATTGTCAAGAGGCATCTGGAGGAGATGCCACTCAAGTCCCATGGGTCATACCTGGTGGGTGTATGCCAGGTGATTTTACCTTATTTTTTATTTAAATGCTAAAGAAGATAATCATGCATTATTCTACAGAAGTGACAATCAGTCCTCCAATTGCCCTTGGTTTCTACAGAATAGTTTAATTTTCCAGCCTCTCGAGCAAGTTCACCTTGACCTTACTCAGCATTAGTTACTCCTGTCCACAGGCCACACGGCCTTCACCCACACTTGCTTTCATGTCTAAAATAAACCTGTCACCCACCTCTAGTGGACCCTGAAGGTCAAAACCAAAGATTTCCCACTCCAGAAGTCTTTCTGTGTCATGTCCATAGCTGGTGGCCACACAGCTTCTCTAAAACAGGTCTCTCCCTCACAGGCAACTCTTAGGCAAGGTCACCTGTCCTGGATGAAGTAAGATCCCTGGAAGGAAATGCCTCTCTTCATCCTCAGAAATGTCCCCTTTACTAAAGGCAGTAAATCACCCAGTGAATAAAAACAAAAATAAGGATCTCCTGGTGAGAATGCATAAAGGTCCTGGGGAAACTTTAGGATGCATTTTCATTGAAAACCTAGGTCACCCCTAGGACCTACTTCACCTGCTTCTTTTGGATCTGCTAGGGTTTGAACGTGACGCCTAAAAGTTCATGTGCTGGAAGCTTAATCCCCAAATTCATGCATTAATGATATTTGAAGGTAGGGCCTTTGGCAGGTAGTTAGGGTTAGGTTAGGGTCATGAAGGTGGGGTCCCCATGATGTCACTAGTGACTTTTTTATAAAAAACATTATTGTTGTACTGGGGGTACATTGTGACATTTACTAGAATTCTTCCAATATATCATAGTTGAATTCACTCCCTCCATCGTTCTCCTTTATCTCCCTTTCCCCCATTCCTACAACAGTTTCAACTCATTAGGATCTTTATAAGAAAAGGAAAAGAGACCTATGTTGGCACACTTGCTTTGTCTCATCATGTGAGGCCTTCTCCATGCTACGATGGAGCACAAAGGCCTCACCACGTACAGAGTGTAGGAGCCATGCTCTCAAACTTTCCAGCCTCTACAAATGTGAGCTAAATAAACCTCTATTCTTCATAAATTGCATGATTTAGGCACTTTATTATAGCAATGGAAAATGGGCTAATACTGAGCTGCTGCTGGGAAAAGTCAAGGTGACCTTCTAAACTCTCCTTCCCATCAGAACCTTCTGATGGGACACATAGAGAACGAGTCTCACCTGGCTCATGGTGGACTTCAACATTTCGAGGAGCAGCAGGACACCTTCTGTGCACAACCCAGCCCGGAGGACTTCTTGCTGGTGGTGCATCTGCAGGAGCCACTGAAGCATGGCATCCAGACTATCCTGAAGGAGGAGGCAGAGGTTGTCAGGAGACCTGAGGCTGCCCACTAAAGGTACCTGCTTGTTTAATGAAGTTGATAAGTGAGATTAGTTAAGACATAGGAAGAATTCCAAGCTTGAGGGGAATTGCAGGCTAGAGGAAAGAGCACTGAGTATGGAATCAGGAGGCCTGACTTTGCCCTTTTAATAACTCAAGCAAGCTATTCAGCCTTTGGCAGTTCAGTTCCTTCTCTATGAAATGAAAAAAATCACATTATCTACCCCACGGGATTATTTAAGTCTCAAGCAAAACAAAATAGGAAAGCATCTACTACAGGTCTTGATATTTAGCAGATGTTTGCTCCCTGCAAGACAGAGAGAAATAAAAAATTCAGGTCCCAATGAACTTAGCATAGTATATTCAGAACATTATTTTGAGGGATGATCTACAATGCTATTGGTATATAGTAAGATTCAGATCTGTGAAATATAAGGATATGCAAGAGAGGTGAATGTCTTTGCTTTCTCTACAAAACCACATCCTTTCTCCATTTCAATTCAGCTTAGTGTAACCTAACTCAATGGAGACCAAGAAATGAATTCCAAGTCTGTTATTTGTCAGGTTCCCCAGGCGCATAGGTACAAGTACCGGTGTCACAGGATAAAGGTACACCAAGGAGGACGTGTCTAGAATTCTACACAAGAAGCAGCACTAAGGCTGAGTACTGCCACGAGGCAGGTGTCAGCAGGGAAAGGAATCTGTCAGGGCATAGAGCACAAAGCATCTGGTCTTCTCAGGGAGGTGAATCTTTGGGGTGACAGCATGAGGGGCAGATGACTGGAGCCAAGTTGGAAAGACAAGTCAGGTACCTAAACATGAGGAATCTCGATGGTGGCTATGGCTCTGAACCTTGTCTTGAAGGAATAAAAACCAATGACTTGGTGTAAGTGAGAGATTGTGGATGGTAGGTGGCACATACAGTGAGCATGGTCTCATCTTTGCAGAATTTTGGACAAGGCAAAATGGGGCAGCAGTTGTCAAGGGGCATCCCCTGGTTTTAACTGGGACATAATTCAACATACTTATGGTCCAAAAGTAAAGCGTTAGTAGAAAAGGAGAAAGTGAAAAGACAAAAGAAAGGATGCATACAGGTAAGTCACCTTTCCAAGGTGACAAGGAGAATCATAGCCTGAGTAGGTGGTGTGCTGAAGCAAGGTCACTCCATTATCCTGTAATTTTAAAATGAGACTGATCTAAATCAGACTGGCTGGGATGTATGGCAGACAGCTGAGGCAAGGAAGTCATGATGCTGAGAGGAGGAAATGTGAAAGTTAGCCAAGGGGTGCAGGACCAGGAAGGAAGGAAGGAAGTCAGACAGTCCCAGATGGAAGAAGTGGAGGGAGGCAAGCAGCAAGTCTTAGGGAACTGCCGAATCTTTTGGAATCAGAAAACCAAGTGTATTCTCAATCCTAGGGGTGCTCCAAGAACCTACTTTGGGTCGTGCTTCAGTTCTGTAAGTGGCATCTGTAGGAAGAAGGCAGACACGATGAGGTAGACTTCTGGAATGTGAACATGGTGGGCCAGAAAGTCATTCAAGACACGGAACCCAGGAAAGCAGGCAGGGGCTCTGGTCAGGCACAGTAGGGTGGCTCTTCAGGTTGTCTATTGATCAGGAGGAAAAGGCACAAAATTGAGGTGAGAATGAACACATCTGATCGAGTTGGTAGTGGACACATGAGCAAATCCCCTGCCACCCACCCATAGGATAGAAACACTGGGTAGAACCAGATGTTACACAGAGGAGAGAACAAGAAAGTAAAAACCTGCTCGACAATAATTCCCTTCCTGCCCCTGACATGCTCCTTCATTCATTTATTCATTCATCCATCAAAAGCACATACTGAAAGCTAACGGTGTAGGAAGCAACTAGGCAACTTTGCATTAGGCAACAGAGATGTCCTGCTTCAAAACGTCAGACAAGATTCCAGGCCCTCATGAAACTTACAGAGCAGTGGGAAGAAAAGACATTAAGCAATTAAGTACCTAAATAATATATGCTTATGAATTATGATAAGCACTATAAAAAAATAATAGGAGCAAAGAGAATTAACACAGTGCCCTAATTCAGGCAAGTCCTCTCTTGACCTGGGGGAAGTGGCATTTGAACTGAGATCTGAAAAATGAATCCATGACTGCCAGAAGAGGCACGTTAGGAAGAGGAAGCAGTGTGTGCCGGGCCAGTGCATGATGAATAAGGAGCCTTTGAGAGGTGGAAAGCAGCCTCCAGGGGCTGAAGAGTCATGAGGTTGTGAAGTTCAAGGGGATGGGACTGATCCGGGGGCAGACTTTAAAGACAGATGTCAAGGTGACCCTGCTGCACAGGCTCCACAGGTTCCTGTGGGGAGGGGTGAACGGAGTCATGCTTCCTGAACTACATGCTCACCCATCACAATGTCCGTGCCCTCTCTGCTGCACTCCACCCAGGATCCAGCAGACAGGCCATCTTTAAATCTCCCACGAAGGGAGGGGTCTGACAAAAAGTGCAGCAGCAGCTTCAGGGCCAGCACAGTGGTGCTGGGATGCAGGTGGCCCTGCAAGAGCAGCAGGAACCAGTCAGGCCCCAGATTCAGGAACACCTCTTCCTTTGCCCTGAAGGGATTAAAAAATACAATAATTACCATCTCTCAAAAGAGGATTAATGTCCAGCTTCAAGAATAACCTAGAAACAGCAAGTTCAAGGTAGCATTTGGCTATCACCCAGTGAGGTACATACTATATTTTGAAAGAATGTAAAATAAAATGCTGGCCAGATTGCTGCGTAACGGATGGATTTTCTATAAACGCTGAAGTGCAGTGGAAGCTTGTAGAAAGTGGAAATGTGCATTGCAATAGTCTGAAATGTGATGCCGCGCACAAGCTGCTCACTACTGTTCCACTCGCAGTTGTAAGAATGGGCACCCATCTAATGTAGTTACTATCTATAAAGTCATAAACAAACATATAATGTTTATTTACCTCTGTTTGAAAGACACTGGTCAAACTAATCTAATTGAAATTGCCCAATTTATGCGTCTTTATCAGTTTAGGTTAAAAAAAAACATGATGAGCTGTCACTTTGAAAAATTAATTTTAAAATATAGTGTGGAGAATACAGACCTGTTGGAGGGAACTGAATGGTAGGAAGGTGAATGGACAACTCAGCAAGGACAATGAACCAGGAGTCAGGGAGGGATCCATTTGTACTGGGCAGTGTTCTCAGCATCAGCTGCCACACCAGGCATGGTGATAAGGTGACTGGTGTCACTGAAATGAGCACTGGACTAAGAGTGAAGAAATTGTCCTGTTTTCTAGTTCTGCCTCTGATGTTTACTAACTGGATGGCTTTGGCAGAGCTCTTGATGTGCTCTGATCATTTTACTCCATGACAATGGGGGTGATGGTGATGGTGTGATTATGGCAGTAAGAATGGTGAGAATGGTGATGACGGTGGTGATAGCATGGTGAGGGTGGTGTCAGGAATTATGATGATGGTGATGTAAGGAGTTAGTTATAGTTTTCATAGTATCCCAGGCAGCATTCTCAAGGCTATCAGCATATTCATTCATTTATTCTCACCATAGCCATCTGTGAAAGGTATACAGTGCTTATATAACCTGGGGACAGAGCTGGGACTCCAACCCAGAAGGTCCAGGTTCCAGAGTCCAGGAGCTTAAGCACTGCACTACATTCTCTTCCAAACAGATGGAAAAGGAAAGAGCCGAACTCATTCACCTCCAAGGTATCTTCCAGTCTTGTCACATTTTGATGCTAGGAAGATAAGGAGCTCTAGGCTGGTGAATCTTTAACCACTACTTGCAGCGTTGCTTTACAGAGGAGTACCTCTCCAACTGCTCCCACAAAACTGCACACACACACTAATCTGTAAACTCAAAGAGAGCAAGGAACAGGGCTGGCCTGCTCAGCACCGCAACCTAGGACAGGAACCGTGTCTGGCATAAAGTAGGTGTCTAACAAATAGGTGCTGAATGAATGACTCCAGGTTGCAGGCTGGTGTGGGGGGATAGTAAATGCAATCCACTTTGTGATTACACATTTTCCAGAAGTTAATTGAAGGGAGATACTCCTTTTTTCCATGTCAGAAAAATAACTAAGGCACTAACAGTAAGTAGCAGAAGGATCTGGCAAGCCTCCTCCTTGATAGCTATTATTTAGGCTAACCATTTCTCCACTCTACTGTCTGCCAAGCATAGGACATCAAAGTCAGCAATTGTCACAACTGCCAAAACAATAACAATGACACGATAGCAATGATGACAAAAGGAGTTTATTGAAATTATACCAAATCCGTTTCTAGTTACCCATGCCCACTGAACATTTGCATCAGGATATCTTAGGGCAAGGTCTGGTTTATTGGGTGGAGAGAATATAATTTTCTTTTTGACTGGTGCAGGAAACACATTGCAGCAAACAGAATAGGAGATGCTAAACTTTTCATTAAGAAAAGGGTTTAATACCGTACCCTGTGTGAGGCAACCTCCTGCCAAATCACTCTTCCTGGAGCTACTTACTCAGAGGACAGATGAAGTTGGGGGGAAGATATTACACTGAGCAGCATCTCCAGCAACTGGTTTCTGAGCCAGATTGTCTTTTCCAGATGTTTGGCTTCCAGCTACAAATATGAAAATTCAGATTTGAGAGAAAACGGATGTAAAGAGACATAATATTTGCTGCAGTGAGCAATCATAGTCATCAATTGCTTAGTTTACTCAGGAATTGGGGCATGGATGGGACTCAAATTTTGGCATTCAATCTACACTTCGATGTGATACTTAACAAGAATTTCTGAAAATGTATCTAAAGTTCTCTTTAGAACCTTTTCAATGCTGCTTATCCTCAAAAATAATCCTAAAAAATGAGGTCAAATATATATTTCCATAGAATTTTTTTAGATTATTAAAATTGCAGTATTTCTTGAGCACGGACTGACTATGTGCTCGTATAATGGGAGTTGTTGGGAGTGGTGAAGTCAATGGTCTTTGTTCTCTTTTTTCTGATTTTCATTCATTTCACTTCCAGGTGAGGCCCCTGCGTGCCCGTGTCACACTGAAAATAGAACACACGCAACATGGGAGACACACAGACCTAGTGGGAGTAGAAACCTGACTCCTCAAGTATCATTAAAGCCCAAAAGACAGCTGGGCACTGGTGGCGCAAGCTTGTAATCCTAGCAACTTGGAAGATTGAGATGAGGAGGATCACAAAAAAGTCTGTGAGACTCAACCTTAGTGGGAAAAAGCTGGGTATGGTGGTACATGTCATCCCAGCAATGGTGGGGAGCTTAAAATAGGAGGACAGGTCCAGGATGACTGGGCAAAAGGCAAAACCCTATCTCAAACTAACCACAGCAAAAAGGGCTGGGGTGAGGCTCAAGCGGTTGAGTGCAAGTGTTTGAACCCCTGTGAGCCCTACCCCCCAGAAAAGCCTAGAAGACATGGTAGCATTGTTTTAATGCTTGTTTAGAGCCAAGTTTCAGAATGAAGTCCAGAGAAGAAAGGCTGACCAACTAAGCTCACTCCTACTCATTACCCATTCATTCATTCATTGCCATCCTTTGTAGCCAACTCAGGTGCACAGACCACACCACAGAAAAGGACTTTTGAGACAGCTAAAAGAAGCACAGTCAGATTTCCCTCTATTTGGATTTTGGCTCTGTCTCTGCTTAAGATCCTAATCTCATTGATCCTCAGTTGTTTCATCTGTAGAATGGGAATGGCAATTCCTACTTTTGAGGCCTGATCTAAGGATAAGAAATAACGTAATTTATCTAAGCTGAGTAATGCTGTCTCAGAGAATCATTTCAAATGATGAGACTGTTTCAGATCATCCCTGTCCAATACAGTGGCCCCTAGCCTCACATGGAATGTGGCTAGTGTGAGAAATTGAATTTTAAAGTTCATATAATTTTAATTAATTCATATTCAAATTTAAATGTCACATGTGGCTAGAGGCTCCCATCTTGGACAGTGCAGATGTGAAAGGCCAGACAAAGGAGCTGAGATTATCCCCTGTGTGCCAGTCACCCGAGCAGTGGGAGAAACCATCTGGAATAGGACTAGAGTGACCCAAAGAAAGAAATCTCAATTATGTACATTATAAGAAGCCCACAGGTCTTCAGAAGCAGGGCTTGGTGGAAATGGCCAGTTTGGTAGAGGAGCTAGGGGCTGGGGGTGGGCAAGGGTGGCATTGCTGGAGAGGACGGCATGTCCCAAGCATGGGCAGAGGCCACACCTCACACATTGGGACCTAAAGTGCTTCAGAGTGCTGGAATTGGGGCTTATCAGGTATTGGAGGGGGTATTGGAGGGTGATGGAGTTCAACCAGGGGTCAAAGTGCACAGGATCCCATGTGCAGGGAGCCACCTATCCTGGAGGATGTGGAAGCCATTCCAGGTTTTAAAGCAGTAACATATGATTTGTGTCACTGCCTGGCCACCACTGCTCAGCCATGGGCACATTCCCATTCCCTTCCCACAGCCCCTCCCTCTGCAAATGGCCCCCAAAAGTGTGCTTAAGAGGTACGACTGAGGGTTGTCCTGTCACTTTCAGACTGACATCTGGGAAAGGTCCTCTCACCAGGCACAGGGGGGTCTCCAGCTCCATCCACGCAGATATGCCTCTCACTCACTGATGCAGGCTTGAGGGTGTACACGACAAACAGCCCAACTCTGCATGCAACAGGGAGAGAAAGACACACTTGGTGGGCTCCACTATGTCTGCTGGGTAAGTACTAGTGTTTCTATACGATCCACCCGAGTGGGACTTCCAGTGAGGATTTGAAGGAAATCTGGTTATTCTGTGATGAACACAATATTTCCAGAGACTTTTAAAATCTGGTACAAGCTAGGACCATCCCGTGGGAAGCCTGCAGGAGGAGCCACTAATCATGGCTGTGCTCATGGACACTCTTGAGTTCCCAGGCACATTAGGAGTGTTTGAGCACCAGGATGCTGTAGACCAAAGCTCTGATGGGAAAATAAGGCTCTCCCATCCTGAATTAAGCAAACTCACTCTTCTCCCAACTTTCAGCCCTGAAGAGACCTCTAGAAGTTTCCAACTTATGTTTGCTTGAAAATGGTCAGAGAGAACTGGGCCTATTATCTCTTCTGAAATAGTAGTGGGGCTCTGTCCTCCCCGTGGGAATTGGCAAGGTACCTGAGCAAGTCCTGGATGCTGAAATGGCCCCTCAGCTGACAGCCCAGGATGGCAATGATGGTGGGGACCTTGGAGGGGGCAAGACTCGGCTCATTGAAGAGGAAGACAAGCTTGGGTATAAGCTGTGCCTGGTGACCTACTTCAGCATTCCTGGGTCCTTCCCTGGTGAGTCCAGGAGAGAGACAGTAAAAGCTTTTACTGGAATGAACCAAATTTGCTGTGTTTCTACTAAAAAGGCTTTCCAAGCTATGCTTGTTCTATGGCCCTCTGACTCCAACACTCTCATGGCAACTTGTCAAGGTGTCGTCAGACATACATTGAATATGTCTGCCAAGTGCCAGAGTCACTGGGGCATACGCTTCCCATCCCTTCCACCTCCCCGGAAACCGCCTTCAAAGACAAACCCCAGTTATTGACTTAAATTCCGAGCCCAGGGAAAACTAATGCTGGCCCCAGAAAATGCAGAACAAAGACAGCAGACAGACGTGTGAGTGAGCTGCACTTCCCAACAAACAGGAGCGTACCACTTTGTGGGCCTGTCTGGGTGCACGATCTTCCTGCCCACCCCAGACCACAAAATGGATAAACATGCCACTGAGAATCAGAGGGCAGAGAGACAGAACTCAAATATCCACCTCCTTAGGATAATCACACAAATTCAATTTCCAGTAAATTCTACCCACCCCCCAAGAAAACAGCCCCCGGGGTAATGTCTGTTTCTTAGAAAACAACAGGTACAGGTACAGAAAGTGGAAAATGGTGGGTGGGGGTGGGTGGAGGAGGACAGAGTTGGGGGGACTGCTCCTTGTGTTGACATTATTAGCACATTAAATTCTGCCAAGCTCCATGGCCTGACACACAAACAAGGCAGGCACAGTGCAGTCTGCACAGCAGGAAAGCCGTGTGTCCCTCCATGCACAAACTCAGGCTACTTCTGCCCTTCTTTCCTACTTCTGCCCAATCGGCACAGGAGTGTGTCTTATTCTCCTCTGAATTTGCAGGACTAAGAACGGGGTGTGAAATGTAGTGGTTTATAACAGCTACTCAATAGTAAGAACCTGAATGAAAAGATGTTTACAAATACATTCATACCTGACTGTGAGGAGGATGGTTCATGGCTTTGCTGCCTCCTTTTCTCCCCTCACAGTCCCTGGTTTGCCTTGGAAAGACCTCTCACTAACTCCTTCCATCTCCTAGATACAAAGCCTTGCACCTGTACTGGCCATGGGACACACTTTAGCTCGGGGAGACTCAATGCTATTCTATAATTATGGAATAAAGGAAAAAGTCTGCTTTTGTTACATGTGCTGAGCTGCGGATGTGCTCCGAGGAGCTGCCCAGCAACCACCCGACTGCCACAGAAGGCTGCTGAGGTGAAGCAGCACAAAAGGAAGCAAGGCAGAGTAGGACCAGAGCTCAGAAAAAGTCACGTGGGCCCCACCCTGCCTCAGTGCAGATCTGTCCCTTTCACTGGTGGAAGCCCATCTTTAATTGCTTTCCTGCCCCCTTTTCCTTCCTGCCTCCCTTCTCCCTTCTTCCTTCTCTCCTTCCTAAAGCTAGTTTAGGTTGCATTTCCCCCACTTGCAACCAAAATACCTCTGATTCCAAAAGTCACTTGGAGAAGCCAGTTAGAGGAAGACTGGGCCAAGGAGGGTGCAGCAGTGTGTCCTTGCTGAGCCCCAAGTCAGTGCTAGTCCCTGGCCTACACAGGCTTCTAAGTTCCCAGCACCCACCTACCTTCCTGAGACCCAAGAGGAGAGAGATCTGAGGAGAGAGATCTATCCCACATGTCCACTGGGAGGAATGTGCTCCCACCTTGGGACACAGTGTTCTGGGAGCAGGGAGGAGGCCATGGTTGCTAAGCCGTTGGCTCTCTTGCCCTCTTGGCCTATTTCTTTACATGAAGACATGAGTTCTAACCCTGGGCTGTCAAAACCCCACCTACCTTGGTGACTGAAGGATTTCCACAAGATGGGAAAAGAGTGCAAGCTCCAGGTTATCTGCAGTGTTCATCCAGAGCTGGAAGACAGAAGAGACGCACCCTGAAACTAAAGCGTGTGTGGTGTAGGGTTTGCAGGAGGCAATGTAGGGTGCTGAACATGTTGTCTACTAGCATAGGGTGCTGACACAAACTGCAACAGGATTACCGCTAGCAGATAATGGGCACCTCCCTGGGGGAGGGGGGCGGTCATCTCCTCATCTCTGCCACTGTCTGTTGCTTCACCCTGGGTCTAGATTCTAACCCAGGACACCATCTATGACTGTACAGGGCCCACAGCCTATACCATACGCCAGATGTATGTCATTTACACTGGATTTTCAAGGCAAATGATGGAGTTCCCACTTTACAGATGAGAACATAGAGGCCGAGACACACCAGTTGAGTGATAGGTTCCAATCACCACTAGCAAGTGCAGGAATGGTATTAGAAGCCAAATTTTTTGCTATGTGAATACTCTGCACCCAAAGTATGTATGTGACACTGTCTTTAGTTCTCTCATCTTTAAATTTGCAGCCCAACTTCTGCACAGAACTGTGAGTGACACACAGATGTAAAATGCATTGAGCTTTCTAGGGTGACATTTATTGCTGTCTTCATAGCAAGCAAAACACAGCAGGAACCATCCCTCTGTGCAGTACTGATGGCTGGTTTTCATGTTCCATTTCTACTCCCTTTACAGTGCTCTGCTATTTTTCATCTCAAAACACCGACAATTCCTAAGGCCTAGAATATGGCAGGTTCAGACACAAGGTAGTTCAGAGGAACTCAGCGCACAAAGAGCTTGCACTTACACGATAGCCCTGCTCAGGCAGGAGGTGCCATGAAAATCCTAAAACACCATTACTGTAACTGCCTTTTGCCCATAGGGAGACACACTTCAAGGAATTCCATAATGTCTGAAAGCATCAGTAGTACAGATCTGTAGGCAATATACCTATCATAAGATTTAGTTTCTATTGCAGCATTCCTTGGTGTCAGTGGGCGTAGGTTCCAAGGACACAGCCACTGAGGAAAAGCCACAAATGCTGAGGATGCGGAGTGTAAACACAACTGATAACAATGCAGGACCCACAGAGCCTCTCCGGACCAACTAAGCTGCGTAAGGCACATGCAAGAACTTTGTTTTATTTTGACTGGGCTTGGTCAAAACCATGTGTAACAAATCTGTGAGTAAGGCAGGCTTTCCTGTAGGCCAAAAGGAGCTTAATAATAATAATAACAACAACTAATAATACAATAGAATAACTATAACAATATACTATAACAAGTTATTTAAAACTTAAACATTGCTTATTTCTGGAATTTTCCATTTTTGGACCCCAGTTGATGATGGACAACTAAAACTGCCTAAAGTGAAACTGCAAATAAGGAAGGCAGTGCAGCTTCATTTAGTAGAGGGGAGTGAGGATCAGAGAGCCTGAGTCACCAGTGGCTTCTGCTCAGCAGAGACTTGTTTCAAAGCCAGTCTCCAAAGACTCTGTGGGCAGACAGTGGCCCACAGGGTCAAGAATCAACCTCCCTCGGAACAAGGCAGATGTCCGTGGCTCCATTCTCTTACAGAAGAGAAAAGCAAAAGTGTGTCAGTGGACACAGCTCATAGGGAGGCCTGTGACTGCAGGACTGTTCCTCTTCACGCCAGAGTCTAGCAGACCATATGCCACATAGTGGCTATATTTTTGTAAAACAATGGAAACAAAGGAAAGCAATGTAAAATAAGTGCATTGTTCTGAAGCCAGAAACAGGCTGACAGATTTCCAGCCACTGCCCAAGATCAGCCGTAGAGGTAGGCCAGTTGTCTTTTGTGACAGCTTGTGTGGGCAGATGTGGCCCCTGTGGGGACGAGGGGTAGGCAACACACCCATCTCTAAAACTCCAAGAGCCCTGCACACTTGGTAGTATTAATTCATGAAATCGGTTACTCAAACAACATGCAGGCTCAGTGCTGTGAGGTGAGGAGCAGAAACGGTAAGACATAAGCCTACCAGTCCAACAAGGCTGACTCCCTCCACCCTTCCTGTAGAAATTTCCAGACTTCACACTTACTTTCCAGCACAATGGAGCAATAATAACTTACCACAACATGTCCAAGGTTGCCTAGCTTTTCTAAAAATTACTTTACACCATACTAAATACCTGAATTTTGGGAAACATGGATAATTGAGTCTTTTGGTTGCTGTCCTGTGTCATATAACACTGTCCTAAGGACTACCTCAAGATGTCTGGGTTAGAGTTCTTTCAATGGATAATGGGTCAGACATTGCTCTCCCCCACACCTGAGACCACCTCACTCTCAGAAATGAGTTGGCCTGTCACTTCTTCAAAAAACCAGAAGCCTAAGACTCGAATGCTTGGGCTCCCTCCCTACCTCACAACTTCCTGTGAGGAAGCACCTTTCACCCTGCTTCTTAATTTTTTGTTCCTCCTTGCTACACAACGGCCATCATGGATCTCATACCTTCTGTGACCACTGCCTTGTCTCCCTCTCCTTTAATGGCCTGTTCTACTAACAGTTTTTTCTCCCAGTAGTGTTCTGACTGCTCCATTTATGCTGCCTCTTCACCATCAGTCTACAATCAGACTTAAGTCTCCCCAATATTAAACACAACACCTGAAGTCCTGACTCCTTCACCTTTATTTTCTAATACCATATTGAGGATTTTTATAGCTATATTTATGATTAAGATTAGCCTGCACTTTCTCATTTCCTGTACTGTCTGTTTTGGGTTCTGGTATTAAGATTAGCTCACGAATGACCTGGGAATGTGTCCCTCTCCTGTTTACAGGGCAGGTTCATAAATCTGGGATGGTTTATTTCCTGACTGGTAGAATTTCCCTACCAGCCCCTGGGCCTGGAGTTTCCTTATGGATTTGGTCTGTTTGTACTTACTTTAAGCCAGTGCTTCTACTTACTTGATGGGTTTTTTTTATTGGAGTTTTCTATTTCTCTTTGAGTAAGTTTGGAAACTTAAGCTTTCCATGAGACTGTTCAAATGAGCTAAGCTTTCTAACTTATGGCATAAAGTTATTGACCTTGTCTTCTTGTTACTGTAGCGACTGCTCAGTCCTCTGCAGTATTCAACCCTTTTGCTTCCTAATGTCATTTATTTGTGCTTTCTGTCTTTTTTGATTGACCAATCTCCTCAACATTCAACTTTGATAATTGATTCTAAGGAAACTGTTTTTAAAAATAGTGGGGGGATGTAAACACAAGAGCTCTGTCTGTAAATAGCATTATAATAACAACAGTCAGGAATGATCTAAGGATTTGACAACAGAGGAATACTGGAGAAGCCAGTAACTCTCTGCATGACAGAATACTACTCTGACCTCAAAATAACGTGTATGTATTTGTAATGAAAATTCCTAAATGAGCTTGCTGGGTGAGAAAAGGCAGAAAAAAAAATATCTACAGTGTGATCATGACTATGGCTATACATACAGAAACTTCGTGGAAAAGACACAGAGAAGGGAGCCAGGGCCACCAGCAGCTGATGAGGCCTTGGAAACAGGAGGACTCCCCTCACTTTCTGTAATTTAATAATATTCTACAGCAAGCATTTATTGGAGCTCAACAAAGAAAGACCTTTTAAGACCCTCCAATGGCTCTCAGCATGCTCAGAATAAGCTGATACCCTGCCACTGAGCACCTTTCAACCCTCTTGTTCCCTCCCTGTCTGGCCTCCTCCCCACCTGCCCTGACACACACCCACAGTGCCCACCAAGGTGCTTGCTCTCAACCCCGCCTCAGCTGCTCTCCTGCCCATGCGTTTGCAAACAGCGTGTGCTCTGACTGATGGATTCCACCAGCCCCAGCCCCAGAGCCTCTGATCTCTACAGGTGCACCGACTCTGTCCTCACTCCTATTCTCCAGAGGCCCTGCACCTGCCCAGTGGGTACTCAGTAAATGATTTTGCTTCCTGAGTGGGTTGATCCACCTAAGGAAGCTTTGTGTGATGCTCCTTGCCCATCCTCAGGTACCCCCATCAGGACTTTTCAAGTCATTCTTTTAATGGATCATTGGAAAACAGCAAAGCACCATCCCAAGGAATTAAGGTTCTTTTGCAGTACTGGGATTTGAACTTGGGACTTCACTTTTTAGGCAGGTGCTCCACCACTTGAGCCATGCCCCTAGCCATTTTGCTTTTAGATTATTTTTTAGATAGAGTCTCACACTTTTGCCTAGGTTGACCTCAGACTGCAATTCTACTTCTGCCTCCTAAATAACTGAGATTATAGTTGTTTTTGAGAGAATCTCACTAACTTTTGCCCTGGATAGCCTTGAACTGTGATCCTCGTGTCTCTGCTCCCAGGGAATTGGGGTAATTTTTGAAACCCTCATACATACATGGAACTTTACAGTTTTAAAATCTTTCCTAGATACCACCTAGTTTAACCGTCATGACAGACTGTGAGGAAGAGATGGTGGTCTCCATTTCACACATAAGAAGAATGGTTCAGAGAGGTCAAGGAACACGTCCAAGACTACACAGCCCAGAGGTAGCAGGGTTTAACTATAAACTTAGGCTTCAGAGCTCCAAAGCTTTTGTGATTTCCCTTCTTACTGCCACCATGACTGTGGAGGAAGTTGACCCACTGGGCTTTCTTATATTTTACCATCACACATACACAACACACACATGCACACACACATTCCTAAAGGCCTAAGAACCAGTCTCTGATTTACCTCAAAATTGCAGAGAATATGCTGGAAGACACCCATGTTGGTGACAGCAGATGGCCTAAAGCCCAGCTCTGCAGTGCCAGCAATGGAGAGGATGAGCTGGAAGATGCGATGGTTTAGGAGAGAGGTCTTCTTCCTCAGGAGAAACGCCATTATCTGGAAAGGTGGAACAAAAAGTTGTGTCCTAGTATGAGCCTCACTGGCACTCTCTCCTGCAGCCACTCATTCCTGCAGCACCGGGGTGAGTCCACATTGCAAACTCCTGCTCTCTGGAGCTACCATCCTTCATCCCCACAGTCGCAGAAGAAAAACCCTCACCGCCTTCTGTGCCTACCTCCCTGCCAGTGCCCACCTTCCCGTGTTCTTGTGACCTGATCTCACATTGAGACCCCCTCCTTCCTCTTAAATCGCTCCCCTGGTGTTTCCCAAATGCCTCTCTGCTGGCCTCCTCCTTTGCCTCATGGTGCTTTTCCTGAGATTCCATTACTGGGTCTTTCACATGCATGTCACAGTGTCACAGGAATTTGCATGTGAGCCCACCTAGCTTTGCTTCAGGCTGTCATTTGTTGTCCCAGAAAGCCAGCAAGTCACCAGCATCCATTCCAGGGTGAAGGCACTGGGAACTCAGCAAGGCATGTGTAGCCCAAGCCATCTCAGAGATGATGAAGCTACATCAAACCTCACGTTCCTGTTGGCCTCGGCCACACAGAACTTAGGCTGCCCAGCCGTCCACTGACATCCATGTCCTCATCCAGTTCACCTGGATTCTCAGCTCGTCTCATGCACAACTCAGTTCCTCCTTATTCTGACACAGTCCACTCTGGCCCTGTCCTCCCAGACATACCTGTCCTCTTTCAATATGCTCTTGGGAAGCCTTCCTCGTGATCAGCAGATACATAATATCTTCTCACTCTGTTTTGATCTTATCTGTAATCTGACCATTTCTTCCTCCCCACCAAGACTTAAGTAAGATTCAAATTGCTTGAAAAAACTCTGCTGTCTGTGTGCTCCCAGTCCTGCTCCTATGGCTCCCCTTGTGGTCGCCTCCCAGGAAGCAGGAAGTTTCTCGAGGGCAGTGTCCGTGTCTCATTTGACCATATTAATTGCAAATCGCAGTAACGATCACAGTACACAGAAAGGCAGCAGTTTTTCTATTCAGGCATCCTTTTAAGCATTCTGCATGTGACCATCACAGCTGTGCACACAGGTCCTGACACTCCTGTTTTCACACATGAGAGAATGGATGCACAAAGGGACTATAAATTAAAGTAAAAGTTAGGTCAGGCAAAATTTTGAGCCCTTCAGTTACATGAAATCATGTAATCCTCCCTGCAGCCTGATGATACAAGAGGTACAACAGTCCAGATCTTAGTCAGGAAAACCAAGAGAGAGGGAGCAAATAACTCTACCAAGGTTAAGTAACAAGTTAGATGAAGGCTCTGAAGCCTGAGCTCTCAGCCACTGTGCAAGAGGCAAAATGAAGAGCCCACGAATGATTTTAGAATCATCGAGGAAAATGCCAGCAGCCACACGCAGCAGGACATCCCTGGCTCAAACAGAGCTGGCTATCACTGGGCCCTTCACTGCTGAGCCAATGCTGGACTCTGGGGGTTCATGCTGTTCTTTTCCAGAAGTCACCTGGAGGAAATGTCACTGAGGCAAGTGAAGGTCACCCTTGATGCTTTGAGGATAACAGTTTTTGGGGAAACCCAGGCTCAGCCAGGAGCACAGGATTACCTTGTACCCACTGATGTGCTGCATCAGGCAGTCACACATGGCATTGCTGGTCAGGACAGAGTGCAGTACTTTCACAGCAGCGTACATGGTGTTGTCATCCGTTGCTAAGGAGATGAGGCCCAGGAGGATGGCAGGTCCACCAATAAAGTCCAGACTGCTAGCAGCAGGGCTGGAGTGAAATACTCTCACTCCTGTGCAGAACAAGGGGGGCATTGCATCAGTGTGTCCCAGCTGTGTAATGTCCCTCAGCAGCATATAGGGGTAAGGGAGTTGTCCTTGCCTCTGTTAACTCATGCTAGAAGGGCCTGTGCCCTGGGACAGACAAGGAGAAGAGGTAGGAGCTCTGAAACTCTTAAGCAGCTGAAAGATCCTGCATGAGTGTCTTTCGGTGTCATCAAAAGGCCAAAAGAGTCCATAGGCTCTCAGTCTGGCCCCCTCTGTCTAGAATCCAGAGTGCTAGATAAGCCAGATGCCCTTTGTACCTCAATTTTCTGGTTGCTCTGAGAACCTCTGGCTCTTCCCTACCCTCTGGATCATGCTGGGCTGGACCCTTGTGCCAGATTTCCACCGTGCTCTTACTCCATCACACTGTGACTGGTAGTCACTGCCTATTGTTTGCATTGAAACAACCACAACCATTGCCTCCGCTCACAGGGCCCACCATGCTTCCTAAATAGGTTCCAGATGTGCATAGGTGTCAGTCTGGTTAGTCACTGAGTTCACTACAATTATTAGACATAGCAAGGTGAATTGACCTCTGTGTTCTCTGAGCAGCCACTCTCCAGCTAGGCTTATTACCAACTCCAGCTCTCCCCAGCCTGGCTCCCTAGCCACTCTATTCTGCCTGCCCTCCAAATTCTAGCATGCACAAGCCCTGCTTTCGAAAGAGCAAGGTTCACTGCCTGACCCACCTAACTGGCCCACAGCAACAGCTCCAAGAGTCCGAAGAGATCCTGAGAGGTGCCCAGCACAATTTCTCAGCAAGAACACAGGCATGGCATTGTCACGGGATGAAATATTCATCTAGAGAAAGTGGTAACAATTAGTACTATGAAACTCCTGGAAAAGAAGGTATGTTGCAGGCTGAAGGTGTGTCTCGAGCAGCAGAGCACCTACCTAGCAAGTGTGAAGTCCTAAGTTCAAACCCCAGTACCTCCTAAACAGGGGCATTGTTCATGAGCTCCCTAAGGACAGGCACCCCAAGGCCTCCACAAGCAGTGATTAGTAGATAATACTTAAACCAAGGTTGGGTACTGAAGGTAACATTTGGGCTCACCTGTCCTGCTCCCCTCCCAGGTTGTGACTTAAGTGTAAGTGAACCAGCTTTAATTGTGCAATCTATAGGGAACAGCAGGTGAAGGTAGAAGGTGTACCTCTTTGGCGATCAGGCGGCTGTCTACCTCATTGTAGTCATTTCTGATGTTTGCAACACTTGTGAGGGAGGAGCTGGACACATGAAGACCAAAGGAAACCCTTTCCTCTGCAATGAGGGGCGTGGCTTCGCTGTCTTGGTCCTCCCCTATAGCAACAGATCTTATATCAGTGCTTGTCTCCTTTACAGAAAAGGAAATCCATCCTCAAATAATTAAATACCTACTGCTACACAGCAAGGTAATCATTGAGAGGTTTTCTGTATGTTTTTACATGGGGTGTTTTTTCATGTTGTATGTTCATATGTCATATTTTGCCCTTTACCTATTCTCTTAGACATAGAAAAAACAAAAAAACTAGAGAAATTCCCCCCAAGAATTGACTTTTCTATAAAATAAAGGTGTTCATTTGTGAAATGTTTAAACAGAGTTTAAAACATCTATCAAATCTGTAACCTTGATCCCCAATACCAATCCACAAAGTGATACAAAAACAAAACAGGCTAGGTCAAAAGGCCTAAGATTTTTAGGAGCTGCATGGCTGTGTGGCCTCCCACTAGGAACACGCATGCTGGTTCTCAAGTCAACAAGAGCCAGGGCGCTGTGAGAAGCCCCATGTGAACATACGCTCAGTGAAACTCCAACTCCAGACCTGGCCTAGTCCCATCGCTCTGGGCAATACCATCTGCCACAGGACCCGAAGTTCAACAACATGTGGGCTTGAGACAGAACCACTCCACAGCCCTCAGTCGCCCTTCTCCGTGCACAAGGCCTTCGTGCTAGATGCATTTCTCATTCCTCCCAGATGGGAACCGACCCCCTTGACTTGATGGAGCTCAAAGAGCAATGCTCCCTGCTTGAACAGCCAGCAATCAATAATGGAAATGTGGATGTTTTGTCTGCCTGTTTAATAATTGAAGACAGCAGTATACTTTAGTTAAAAAGCTTCTTCATTAAAAGGAATGTGACTTATTTATCTCATTCTCCTCTCTCTGTCTTTGCTGATGGTATTGCCCACCCACCCTCTTCCATTAGGTGCTTTGGAGTCGAAATTTAAAGGATATTGTCATTTCCTTTTCTGCGACATTTTCTTTTGGGTTGTAAATATATAATGATCCAATTACAAAGGTTTTCCCTAATGATTGACCTGTGCTGAGTTCATTCTTTATAAATATGCTATAAATAACTGAATGTCCATTTAAGAACTTTATATATCAAAACATTATAAATCAAAACACTCCCTACCTTGAGCGTGCACAGCCTGAAAGTTACCACAGTATCTTGGGCCCAGTTTGATAATAACTGCTAGAGTATCCATTGATATGGCTTCATCAAAGAGATACGCGGGGCCAAGACGCCAGATCAATGATGACTTCTGTCTCCAAACTCGAGGGGTTGAAATATAGCCATAAACATCCACAAACGAAGATGGATCCATGGACAGGAAAGGTCCTGGCAAGGCCTGGATATACAACATCTTTAAAAGATGAAAGACGGAGGGAGTAAGTACTGCTTAACTTCAGAATTAATCCAGTAACTACATAGTGATATAACATGGCAATCTCACGCCCATGTCAAAATAAATTTTTTTTCATCTGCAGCATTTAAAAGGTAACTCTCAAATTTGAGCTGCATGAAGCAAAACAGCCTATAACACATGGAGAAGGGCAAACACAGGTGCAGCCTTTGGAAACAAATTTGATAAGAATTACATAGAGACAAAAATGTCTACCTTTCTTGTCATACACATTCCACTAAGAACTTAAATGTCCATTAATAAAGTTTTATGTACTAACAGTTATTACAGCTAGACTGCTTAGAAAAAGAAGAAATAAAAGTGTCTCTCTTTGAGGTGACATGTCCATATAGAAAATTACAAGAAATGTTTTAATATCCTAGAACTAATAAGTAAGTTCATGAAGGTCACAGGATACACATTCAACATATAAAATCATTTGCATAGCTATAAGTCAACAATGAAATTTAAATTTTAAATTAAAATTTAAAAATACCATTTACAATTGTAACAAAAAATAACATAATTAATAAAACATGTAGAGGGTCTATATAGAAAACTCCAAAATGATAAGGAAAAAAGTCAGAGAAGACCTATATAATGAAGAGATATACCATGTTTATGGATAGGGAGACTTGCTATAGTAAAGGTGTCATTTTTGTCTCTAATTGATGTAATTCCTGTCAAAATCTCACCAAGATTTTTTTTTATACATCTATGAGCTAATTCTAAAATTGGCAAAGCACAGGTTATGGAATAGCTTAAGGAATTTTGAAAAAGAAGAATTCTGTTGGAGGAACCACACAACTCAATAATAAGTCTTATGGTATTACTATTATGATAATAAACAAAATAGTGTGGTATCATAGAAAAATAGTCATAGATCAATGGAATAGAACAGAGGACCCAGAAATAGCCCATACAAGTATGTCTCAAGCCCATACAAACATGACAAAGGTACAAAAGCAAGTTGATGCAGGAAGGACAGCCTTTCAACAAATGGTGCTGAAGCGAGTGCAAGTGCCTGTCCAATAGGCAAAAAATAGACTTCAACCTGAGTTCTCACCTTATGCGAAACTCGGTTCACAACCAATCAATCACAACCTCACAGGTAAAATATGAAGCTTTAGAAAACATTAAGAGAAAACTTTCAGATTCTAGGGCCAAGCAAAGAATTCTTAGACTTAACACCAAAGGCATGAGCCATAAAAGGGAAATAAAAACTTTTGCTATGAAAAACTTTGCAGGGTGAAAGAAGATGAAAAGACTAGCCATGAACTATAGGAAATTATTTGCAAATCACATATCCAATGAAGGAATAGTACCTTGAATAAAAGACTAAAAAAACTCTAATGCCAACAGTTAAAAAAAATCATATTCAATTAGAAAAGACATAGATAGACATCCTTGAAGAAAATAAGCAGATGACCAACAAACACACAAAATGTTCAATGTTGTGAGTCATTAAGGAAATACAAATTAGAGGCTGAGACAACTGTCACTATGCAAATATCAGAAGAGCTAATACAGTAGTAATGGAACCAAATGCAGAGACACTGGATCACTCATCCATTCCTGCTGGGATGTGGAATGGTCCAGCCATTCTACAAAGTAGTTTGACAGTGTTATAAAACTGAGTAGTTAATTACCACAGGACCCAGCATTATACTCTCAGGCATTTACTCCAGAGAAATGAAGGTTTAAGTTCACACAAAACTCTATAAATAAATATTCATAACAATATTATTCATAACAGCCAAAAACTGGAAATAGGACTGAGGGTGTGGTTCAAATGGATGAGTACTTGCTAGCAAGTTTGAGGCCCTGGATTCAATTCCCAGAACCATAAAAAAAAGAAACCTGAAAACAACCCAGGTGTCCTTCAAAGGATGAATGATTAAATAAGCAACAGCACCATGAAACAGTACCCAGCATTTAAAACAGGAATGAAGTATTGATGCATGCAAAAACTTGGATGAATCTCCAGGGAACTGTACTGAGTAAAAAATCCAATCATAAAAGGTCAAGTACTGTGTGATTCCATATATAACACCCTTGAAATGACAAAGTTTTATGTTAGTTATTGCCAGGGGTAGGGACAGGGATGTGGGAGAGGGGACAAGGGCAGGAGTTGGGTGTGTTTATAACAAAGCAACACAAAGACCCTCAGTGTGATGGAATTGTGTGTGTTGCTGTGATGGTGGGTGAATGAGCCTACACAAGTGATAATACGGATAGAATTCAACATACACACAAGTATGAGTAAACTGGGGAGATCTGACTAAATCAGCAGATTGCATCAATGCCAATGTCTTGGTTGTGATATTGTTCTAGAGTTTTACAAGACATTGACATTGGGGAAAACGAGGTTAAAGTGTCCCAAGGTTTCTATTAGCTCTTACAGCCAAATGTTAACCTAGCATTTTCTCAATAAAAATTTTAATAAAACAGCCAGGCGTGGTGGTACATGCCTATAATCCCAACATTCAGGAAGTGGAGGCAGAGGTGGAAGATTGCAGGTTCAAAGCCAGCCTGAGATACACAGTGAGACCCAGTCTCAAAAAAGCAAAAGAAATTACAATGAAAGAGAAACAGTCAATGGATCATCATAAATTTTAAAGTAATGATAACTTCAAATCCTATATGTATATTTTTTAAATAATGGAATTTTAAGTGAGCTAAGTGATACACATTTTCTCTACAGTAAAACCATACTATTGGTTTTTAAAAAGGAAAAAAACTGAAAGAAACTATACACTATGATAAAGCAATGGGATATAAGTAATCTCTCTTCTTTTCTATGTTTTCCAGTATTTCATGATGTATTTATATTATTCTATAATGACTATAAAACCACTATATATGAATATGTAAAGTTTTGTTGTTTTTTAAGTAGTGGTACTGGGGTTTGAAATATGTCTTGGCCTTGCTAAACAAACACTCTACCACTTGAGTTAGGCACCTGGCCCTTTTTGCTTTGTAACTTTTCAGATAGGGTCTTGTGTTTTAAGCCTGGATGATCTGTACTGCAGTCTTCCTACTTATACCTCCCATGTGGCTAGTGGAATCACAAGCATGTACCACCATACCTGCTCACTGACTGAGAGGGGGGTCTTGCTAACTTTTTCCCCCAGCTGGCCTCAAACCACAATCCTCCTTCTGCGTAGCTGAGATTGCAGACATGAGCCATCATATCCAGCATTCTTTTTTTTTAAGTGACAGTTTATATAATTTCTGAAATAATCCTTTTCAGTCCACCAATTAAATGAGATTTTCAAATAAAAACAAGTTACCAGGCTCTGCAAAGTATGGTCCACTGTGCTGTCTCCTCTCTCCCATTCTCCCAGGTAGACTCTTCCTCACTTCTTCCTAATGAAAGCTCTGCCCCATTCCTCTAGCCCTCCCTGCCCTTTCCTCCCTAAATTCCTAACGTGTGCTTGTCTCAAGTTGTTTCCAAATCATTTTGATCAATTCAGGCTGATAAAATACTCCCTAATTCTCCCCACTTACCCTATCTTCCCTTGAAAACAGAAACAAAGGCTCTGACTCTTTGGGAGCAGTTGTTACACCAGGTTGCCTCCAACCTGTTCTGAAGTTCTCCCATCTCATTCTTGCCCAATGCGTGTTTGCATCAAAACACAAGTTCTTCTGTTTATCCCAGGTAGATTTCACTAGCTGGTCCTGACCCAGCTTCTTAAGGTCACCTTGGAGAGTGAGCTGTTAGACTTGGTGTTGGCCACTCCCATGACACACTTTCCCCAGCCTCCCTGATGACTGCCCGGTGTAGCTAGTCTCAAGGGCTGGATTCCATCTGTGTAACAATTTACCTGGCCATGCTGCCAGCACTTCATGCTCCTCTCAGTGCCTGTAAACTCAACTCAGTTCATCAAAGGCTTATTGCATGCTCACTGTGCGTCAGCTCTATGATAGTTCAAGAAAGGTATAAGCATCAACAGGACACCCCTCTGTCCTAAAATGCCCCACGACAAAGAATGATCAGTTCCAAAAGTCGCTATCACCCAAATCAAGAAACCCTGGCTGCACACTAGACCAAGGAGAATTTGAAACTCTGCTGACTTGTCAGATCACCCAGCCCCCAGAGGTTCTGATGGCAGCGACCAGATACAGCCTGTGTTCCAAAGCTCTAAAGAAGTCATACGGGGACTTCTAGAACGCAGACTGGGCAGATTTTCTCTGGAACCTGGATGGAAGCCCAGCTGCCCTTCCTGGTGCTCTGAACTTCCCCTCTGTGGCTTCCTAGGGTCCTCTGACACAGGCCACTGCATGTACAGAGCCTGCCAGCTCCTTGATCTCCCTCACTCCCTGGCTCTCTAAATGAGGGTAATGAGACACTCCCTCCAGCTATGTGCTGTTCTGTTACCTCCCTTATCTTTCTTGCTATAAACCAGGTGAGCTGGGTTTGGTGTCTTGTTCCTTAGGGTAGTGTGCAGACAGACACCTGTGTGGCCTCCACAGAAAACTTCTAGAAAAGTCAGACCTTAGGCCCTGCCCAGAGCCCCCTGGGAATTTGCACCTCAAAATTCTTTGTGCAGTCTAGAGATTGCTATCCATCATTTTATCGCCATTCTTATGGGTCTGGCCCTATGCCTTGTCTTTTATCCTGCTTGTGTGACCTTCTGCATACTTTCTAAAGATGTCTGTTTCATGCCTGAGCTCAGACAACACCCTGGACAACAAAGAGTTTTATTAGATCTTGAACCTCTGCCAAAAGAGAACACAGACTGAACGGAGACCACTAGAGATGGCAGGGCTGGGAGGCATAGACATGGGCCCAGTGCCACTTAGGGAACCATCTCACCTTGGCTGAGCCAATAACCTGTCCATCCAGGTAGGTGGAAACAGTGCAATTCCTTTTCATTTCCTTGGTGACGACCACAGCCAGGTGGTGCCACTGACCACAGGCCAGCAGCTGGCCACACCTGACCTGAAGCTGGCGTCCTGCAGAAGGCTCAGCCTCATCCTCAGGTTCCATGACATCTGGAAGAGAATGCATCAGACTGCAGCAACCCAAGAGTGCTGGGGAAGGGTGACAGTCCTGGTCAACCCATGTCACCTTTGTACCTATGAAACTGTGGTCTAGTTCTCCTCTTTAAAAAAGTATCAACAGCAGCAGCAGCAAAGGCAACAGCCCTCATTCCTGGAGCTCACACTCTGTGCCAGACACTGGTTCTAAGCCTGAACTCATTAATTTTCACAACAACCCACGAGGCAGATACTATCATTCCTCCCACTTTACATCCTGAGGCACATAGAGCTTAGGTAACTTGCCTGGGTCATGAAGCTAGGATTCAAACCAAGGAGACAGGCTCCAACTAGGAGCCACCCTAGTGGGTGGCAACTTGGATGCCTCCCTGGTGACATCCACATGTAGTTCAGGTCCTAAGAGAGAGGGAGCAAGGCAGTCTTGCTGTGGGCCAAAGGTATCAGCCATGCTCTAGAACTTCCACTTTGCTTTGCTATGAGACCATGCTTCTCAGAACACACCACAGAGGAAAGGTGACTGGGGAACGCTGGACTTGGCCATTTTAGGCAGGTGAGTTGGAGAACAAGACCCAGGTCCAAAGGACAGAGCAGTGAGCAGCCTCACTGGGGGAAAACCAGGCTCCCGGGTGTCCAGGGTACCACCCTGCCATGTGATCACTGGTGCCCACTGATTCAGGGGTGAGTATTTATGGACGTGTTGAAAGCTGCTTCTGCTCTGGGTCAGTTGTAGATATTGCTCAGGAGAGGTTGCAGCCTGTGTCCCAGGACACGAAGCCTTCAGTCCCATCTGTGGCCATTCTGTAAGGACTGAGCTGTGTTTCTGGAAAGCCACTGAGTATGACCGCTGAAGCCACCCCAAGGCCCAGGTCACAGTGACACCAACAAATATTTATTGGAAAGCCACTGAGTATGACCGCTGAAGCCACCCCAAGGCCCAGGTCACAGTGACACCAACAAATATTTATTTAGACCTTTCACCAGAGGTGGAACCAATGCCTTACCCAGGGGCTGAAACTCTTTCTCTTCTGTGGACACAACCAAGGAGAGGTCATCTGGGCAGAGGCTGATGGAGAAACAGACAAAGGGCTGCTCCGTCCTGGCCAGGTGGCGCACCAGGGTTAGGAAGCGTAGTGGGTGGCCCTCAGTGACAGTGGCCTGCCGGCTAATCAGGAACCAGCAAGAGAAGGTCAGGCCTCCAGGTGGAGGGAATGATCTGGAAGCACCTGGGGCAGAACACAAACACAGCATCATGCTTTGTCCTGCAGCTCTACTCAGCCCCACTGTGCACCTACTAGGTGCAGCATGGTATCTGCCTAACTCACACCCACTCAGCTCCAGAGGCAGAGGTGCCTTTGTCTCACCATTCTTATTAGGCAGAGGAGACTCACAGGAAATAAGAAGGATTGCTGCCAGGACTTGATCGTAGATCCCAAAGCTCCTCCAATCCTGCTCTCCCTGTTACTCCACACAACCTTGCCAAGGGAGCAGAAAAGCCTCCACTGTCCTTGAGGCCTATCTCCTTCTCAAGTCCTGCAGTTTGGGGGTAAAGGACACTGGCCTATCTCAGCCCAACCATAGGTGGGGAAATGGCCTCTCATCTCATGGCAGAGTTGGCAATACAGATCTGGGGCCACTGTCCTCACTGAGCACTCAGCTGTAGCAGCCATGTTGGCACACCTGGTGCCACACTCACATGGAAAGAGACTTGCCCCACACTAATGGCCATGAAGTTAGCAAGTATGCTCCCACAGAAACCCAAAATCCGGTTCTCTTAAACAGAAGGTAGTGAGCTCACGCAGCACTGGGTGCTTGCACTGTCCTGCCCAGCAGGTTTTCAGGTAGGTACAGTGCTGTGCAAAGCATCCCAAAGCTCCAACCAAGGAGCCATTTGCCAAGGTCTGGTCATCTTCATGGCCATCGGCACAAAAATCACATTTGTCTCCAATTTACCAGTACTGGGCACCAGGACAATGAATCATACCCAGGTTGAATGAGAGTGGCTCACTCAGACAATCAATGCTAACTGAGCCTCTGGCCATGGGCTGAGCCCTTGCGATGCACGATGAACAAGACATTCGCTCTAAAAGTTGTGAACAAACTTGGTGCCTGAAGGACGACTCATCTATAGATACTCAGGACCCAAGGAAAACTCATAATTTCTGTAGACACCAAGTTGAAACCTGTAACCGAGGCTACCTGAGAACTTACTCCTGGGACCAGGTGGGGAGCTAAGCCACCTACACCACCTGGGAGATACCTACCTGTCCCAATTCCTCCGGAGACAGAGTACTCAGTGCTGGTCCCCATAATCGTAGACAGTGTCGGAATAAACAAACAGCTGGAAAGGGGAAAATGTCTCAGGTCACCAGTCTGCAAGCCAACCTCTTGCATCAACATAGCTAGTCTGGGCGGTGACATTCCCTGCTCTTTCTTACTGCAGGGGTCACATACCCTCTGAGACTCCAAGGGCCCAAGGACAGAAAGCAGGTAGGACATCCCAAGAGAAGGAATCCACAGTGGAGGCCAGGAAGGATAGGAGGGCAACAGGGAAGGAGAGGGCCCTGGTCCTCCAAGGCTAGGGATACTGCTCCTAGGAAGCCACTGGGTGGAGGGGTATCTACTACCTACACACTTTCCTCTGCTTGAGTAATAAGACTGATGGGAGCTACAATTGTGTAATCAATGTTGCAATTCATCAGAGGCACTAGGAAATTAATAAATCATTTTCCAAATATAGGAAAGTCACCCATACCCATAACCTTCCATAGACATGTCAAATTCCACGAAGGATGGAGCCAGGGCTGCCCTCTGAGGTTGCAGGTTGCGCGGGGAGGTCATGGAGATAAGGCTCAGTGCTGTCTGAAGGGCCATGGTCGAATCCTGGCTGGCCCCTGAGGACTTGACATCCTGAGCTACTCCACAGCGTGATCTGGCATTTGCAGGTCCCTCAGTTGTGCCTGAGTCTGCTGCCTGTGACCCTGAGGCAGAAAGCAACAGAAGATGTGTCCTTTCTCAGTGCACTTCCACCCTTGTTTGGGCACTGTCGACGATGTACCTGCCACAGCCCCGATGGAGCCTTCTCCAAACTCCCCAGGAATTTCCTGAACACAGCCTCCTTGGCTCTGTTGATTTTGATAACGCTGAATGGTGGTAATAACCTGCTCTTCCTAGAAACTTCTTTTTTTTCTAGCACACTCCCCCTGGGCCAAAAGAGCACTTTCTACCACTGTCAGTGACTTGTTTCCCACACTGGACTTACTTGTTGGGCTCTGTACTGACTCACCGTCCCCTGCTTTGTCTTCCACAGCAGCCTGTTACCCTGAACATTCTCAGTCCCTTACGTACATGCTGGGGCTTGAACTCATGATCTACCCCTTGAGCCACTCCCCCAGCCCTTCTTTGTGATGGGTTTTTTCTAGATAAGGTCTCACGAACTATTTGCCCAGGCTGGCTTAGAACTGTGATCCTCCTGATCTTTGCTTGAGTAGCTAGGTTTACAGGCATGAGCCACCAGCGCCCTGATTGAATCTCCATTCTTGCTTCTCAACTCAGCCTTTTCCTTTTCTCTGTGCCCCATGTGATCTTACATTCATGACTCTTTTCTCCAGCCTAGTTCCCTGGAGCCTCATCATCCCAGGCAGCAGGCCTGATCCTAGGCATCACTCAATGCCTTTCTCTCCTGACACCCTAACGCCCCTGAGCTGGGAGCTATGCAGGAAGCTACAGCATACTTCTGCCCAATGCAACACCAGGTACCGCTGGGCCATAAAGGAAACTCAGTCACTGTTTCATGATCTTGGGCCTAAAGGTCAAGCAGGTGACCAAAACCATCTGTCTCATATGGGGAAGGCCAAGTTTTTCCTTCTGGATCTGGTCTTCCTCCAGGAGCCCGTGACTCCTGTGCTTACCTTGTTTGATCCTTTAAGCAGCACGTACACTATGTTTTAAATCTTTTCCCCTGCTGTGAAAGATTCTTCACTAGGAGCAAACACTCCCTTTCAGTCCCATTAATCTGCTCACCTGAGCACCCACAGTCACCTTCGTGTCCTTTAGAATTGAGGGTTTTCGTTGCAGTCGACAGAGATGGGTGAATTCCAAGGCCAAGAAATTGTCTGAATATCATAACATGCAAGAGAACCAAGTGAGGCTATTTTACAGGCAAAAGTTGTCCAGACTACTCCCTAAATGCTCACTGTTCCCTGATCCTTTCTCCCTCTGCCTTGAAATGCTCTTTCCAAAAGCCATGCAGTCCTCATTCTGCCACCAAGCTCACAGAGCTGGGACGGTAAGGAGCCTCAAGCAGTGATATGCACTGCTTATCAGTTTCTAACAGAATTTGCTACCCAGCACTGTGAGCATGGTCCTGGTCTGACAGCAGGGTTGAGAGAGGCTGAAAGATGCTGGCCCAGCTTCTGGCTCCCAGGTCTGCTGGCTGGAAAAGTTGTCTTCTATCCCCTCTGCACTAGTGAGTGTGTATCCCACTCCAGGGTAGTAAAGGGGGTCTTAGAAGATTTGACCTCCCTCCTGCATGCAGCTCTTCTCTCCTCTGCCTTCCTTCCTCCACCTCTGCTTGAGCAGAGGAGGTCCCCTGCAAATACGGGAAGTCCTGCCCCACTGCCTCCCCTGCAAGCCCAGCTCTCTGAAGTCTGGCCTCTAGGTCTAGTCAGGCACTCCCAGCCCCACCCCTCCTTGCCCAGTTCCCTTCTTTCCTTGATCATAAACTACTCAGGCTGCAAGGTTCAGCTCCAGCTTCACTTCCTGAAGCCCCCTTTCCCCAGGCCACTATTGCCACAGGAAGGGGCTCTGTCTGCCTTGGGGGCATCGACACACTAAACACAAACCCAAGGTCCATCTGTGTTTCTAGTCTTGAATGCTAGAGAGGCCAAGAAGGGACATGAGGACACCTGTCCCTGCAGACTCTATTGCCCATGGTGTGTCTATTACCCTGCCATTGGCTCTGTGACATTTATGCTTAGTGTACACAGTACCTCAGCACATCTGGTTCGATGGCTTGAGAAGCAAGCTTTTCAAAAATTCTGATGAGCCGTGAGTGCAGGGGGCTGCTGCCCGTGCCGAGGTCCCTGCAGCAGGAGGTCAGGAGGGTCCTGAGCATCCCTGCCTCACACATGACCTGGCGGTTCTTCTCCGATTTCACCAGAGACTGGAGATGACTGGCCACGGAGCACTGGATTTCCTCAGAAAGCTAAGAGGTGACCAAAGCGAGCCATGAGCCTTGAGGGCAGAATATCCTGTGGCTGACTTCAGCAGGCTCCCCACTATCCCTGGGATTGCTTGTGGGATAAGCTGACTGAACCCACCACAACCCATGCCCACTGAACCCGTCTGTCTGTCTCAGGTACTCTTCTGCAAGCTACACTCACCTGCAAGAGCAGGCCCCAGGGAGACCAGCCCAGGGATAGACCCGACCTGCTCGAGTCAGCTGCAGCTGCTGTCCATGGCAGAGGCCTAGAACAGAGACCGCACACTGACAGGTAGGAGGCTGGGTTCACCCTTAGATGAGTGATGCTGCACCCAATGATGTTGGAGACGTTTCTAAATTAAATGTTAACAAGTGAAAAGTCTGAAGATTCTACATAAAAATCCAGACTTGGGCTCCCTCTCAAAGATGGGAAGATCTGGTTGTGCAAGTTGCTGGTTCTGGGTCAAGATGTCATTGGGACTGGGCAGTGGCTCTGCCTCCACGTGGTCCCACATCTCCCGGCTTCACTCGTTGGGCTCCTGCACTTAGGTGTGCACCCCTGGGTGTAAAGGGTTGGATAAACCTGGGTGTGTGAGCCTAAAAGAAGGGACACACAGCATGGGCACTGGCTATGGCAGACGCATTCATCACTGTGCCACCCTCCAGCCGCACTCAGGGTTGCCAAGCCAACCAGGCGTCGCAGATGTGGTCCCCCTCTCCCCACCTAGGCATCCCCCTCTGTCCCAGCACACTGCTCCCCCTGGACACTGTGCTTTGTCTTAACCTCCACTATGTTCAAGCTTCTTTGCTCTCTTTGTGCCTGCTGAAGCTCACAGAACAGAGAACACAGGGTAGGCTTGGAAAAAATCAAGCAAGCACAGGATGTTCCTTTTATGATTTTCCTTTCTTTATAAAACAAAAATAAATAAAGACCCGGAATTCCCAGCCCTTCACAGATATATAACAGGCCAGCATGGGGAGGGGCGCATTTCCTTTACAAAATTAGTCAGCCCATCCTCATTCTGTCTTATTACTGAATAAAATGTTATCTGAAGTAAGAGGAATGTGGTTAGACCTAAAGGGATTTTCTTTGCTGTAAGGGATGCTATTGGCGCTGTGCCCAGATTTCTTTCTCCAGGTCCAAAGGGCTGCCCTCTATTAGGTAGGAGCTGCCCAGAGGCCATGTGAGCCCTTGAGGCCACCTACACATGGATACAGCTACATGCACACACGTCATGCAGAGGTATACATACTTACCCATGTGCACACATGCATGCATACATACCATGATGCAATGCATACGTACCTGATCATGCACACGCACACACCATCCTGGAGCTTATGAGGCCAGCATCCTCTAGACTCCAGACCCTGAAGTGCTTCAGAGTTCCTGCCCCATGGCTCAGGCTGAAACTAGGTATCAGTGGACACTCAACTCCTCCCCCTGGGCTCCACTGATCCCCTTCTCCATTTCCCCCAAACCCCTCCCTTGGCAATGCTTCCGTAGTCCCTACTCAGGCTCCGCTTCCTGGGAACAAGTCCTGGAGCACCAGCATCCTTTTCATATATAAGCCTTTGCCCTAGTTTGTGGTTTCAGAAGAAGAGATCTATGGCAATGTAGACAATGGCTAGGACGGGCTACCAATGTAGCCAGGAGGAGCCAGAAACGCACTAATTTGAATACAGCCATGGGTCAGTATCCATGCGAAGTGGCTCTAGGAACTCCCACCCCCACAGACACCAAAATCCTCTGATGCTCAAGTCCCTTAGATAAATGCTGTAATATTTTCACATCGTCCTTACACATCCTCGCACACACTTTAAATCATCTTTACATTACCTGTAATATCTAATACTATGCAAATGCTTTGCAATGGGTATTAGATCGTATTGGGAATAATGTCAAGAAGAAAAATCAACGTGTTCAGTACACACAGGGGTTTTTTTAACCACCTTCAACCCATGGCTGGCTGAACTTTCTGATGTGAGACTGAGTACAGAAGGCCAGCTGTGACCATTCTCTCTCTCTCTCATGAGTACCAGGTTCTGCTCTCATCAAGTCACAGGCCACCTGCTACTCACATCCCCTCAGAAAGCATTATGGGAGTTCTCCCCACTGCCTTGCTTCCTCTCTCCCTCCAGCACATATTAAGAAGTGGCTCTACAACATCAGCTTCTGTGTACTCAAAAATGAAGAAGGCATTGGCCACCTCCCAAGGGGTTCATGGACTAAATGAGACAGGTGAGCAGACAAACAGCCTTGGCACACAGTGCGGCACACTCTAGCAGGAATTCACAGTGTCTGGGAAGAGAAGTGGGTTTTCCTAGTCCTGAACACATTTTATGGAGCTCTTAGAGGTAGAAAGGAGGCAAGGCTTGATATTTACTTTAAGTGCCAAATTTTATGGTGTGATGAGAGTATTTCTTGGGTATTGAGGATGTGCCAAGCTCTGGTCTAAGCATTTTGATATAGATTATGAAATCACTGTAAGGAAGTCTGTGAGGCAGGTGCTGTAGCAATCCCCATTTTACAGATGAGGAACGGAGCTCAGAGGTTAACTACCCAGTACTACACGGTAGAAGCAGGGCCTGGCCTATACCTGGCTTAGACCTCACATTTAGATTTGCCTCATCCCACCATCTCTTCTTCACATGCAGTCACTTGAGGAGTTCCATGCCAAGAGAGAGACAAAATATGTTTCTACACCAAAGTACAGAAATAAATAAAATCAGGTTCTTCCACAGGCTGTTTGTTAACAGCTAATTTTGTGACATATGTGGGTCAAGGAATCAAGTGTTTGAGGAAATAAACATATTTACACGTTTATCATCAGTTCCTAGATTTGTTTTTTAAAATTGGATGATTTACACAGTCCACCTATCATCCTCCCACCTGTCTTCCTGACTCTCAGCCCTGTACCTCCTGCCTCAAACTGATGGCATTCATTGGTGTCCCCATATCTAAGATATCTTTAGTAGCATTTCTGACTTAAAGTTTGGGTAGATAAAACTCCTGGGCAGAATTTCACCATCCTGAAATGTCACCATTTGCCAACATTGATTGCCCTTAGCCTGATATAAAGGACAGGCTTCATCACCTTTCCTTTTCTATGTTACTATAATGAAATAATGAGAGAACCAAACTGGGTACTGTATAAGGAAATAAGTTTATTTAGGTTATTGTTCTGGAGGTTCAAAAGTATAGCACCAGCATTGACTTGGTTCTGGTGAGGAGGGCCCCATTGGCATGTCACAGGCAGTTATCATCACAGTGAGATCATATGTGAGAAGGAGAGATCATATGTGAGAAGGAGAGATCACATGGTGAAAGCCAGAGATCAGGGAGGGGTCAGACGTGCTCTTTTATAGCAATCCTCTATTGAAGACCTACTGGGGTTCCATTAAAGCTACATTAATTCCTTCCACAGGCAACATCCCAATGGCCTCCCAACTAGGTACCATTTCTTACAGTTTGCACCATTTTGCCACCTCCACACTGGGGACCAAGCTTCCAGGGCATGAACCTTGGGGAATATACTCAAACTGTTTCCAAACCATAGTAGTCCCTTTTCCTTTAGCTGTGAGCTCTGTACACTCAGTCTGAGCTGGCAGGTGCACACCCAACAGGGACCAGAAACCAAAGCAGAAATGCCCAAGCTAATTTGCATTAAGCAGTTCCAATTCCATCACTTTCACTTTCAGGGTGCCTTCCACATGGAAATTCACCAATTTCCTTCACTCATTTTTCCAGATATTTCTTCTGATCTATTGACCTGACCCCCAAACCTCATCTCTGCCTTCCTTCTTCACTCTTTTTCTCACACAACTGAGAGAAATGTCCTCCCTCCCACTTTGAGCATTTCCTCTCTACCAGAACTTGGATTATTTCATTTAGTAACTGCACTCTTTTAATTTGGGGTAAGAGCTGGGGAGACAGTCTGTATGAAGCAAGATGCAAAAATAACATCACAATGTATTATTAATAAGAATTAGAAAGAAATGTCTACCATCCCCAATTATATTACCAGCACTTTACTTATTGCTTTGGGGACTTTTGGTTTTGTTTTCTATGTTTTTGCTTTTTTTCCCACCAGAATAAGAATACTTAAAATCTAAATATATGGAAAAAAAGAGAAAGAGAAAAAGTTTTCAAAAGGGAGAAATGCTGATCTTGTCTAATGATGCCACAAGTTTACTCCAAAATTGCTCAATACCCCATAATGGAAGAGGGAAAATTGATCGTCCTCATTATCACTGTAGCTCTGTCAATACCAATATTGCCTTGTTTTGAATAAAATGCGCTGCTTTTTTCAATGTTGGTTCCAGTAAAATGGGGTTTTAGTGAAAATATGAGCAGTAGCAGGAAACCAGTCTGGTTTCTCCCCCTACAAATGGATTGATTTTCCTAGCGCTTATTACTTCCAATGCAGGAAAGGGGAAGGTGGTTCAATTAGGGCTTCATGGTAAGAATGTGGGGTCACCAGGCTGGCTGGCAGGCTGGACCCACAAGGCAAATTATCACAGAGTGACTGCAGGGCAGCCTTAAGGAGTTTTCTCCTTTCTCCACTAACAGTCAAGACTACCCAGCTATGGATGTTTATTCTTCTTTATCTCTGCCCCCAACTTTCTTGGTCCAGATTAACATGGTCCCAGAGTCCACCAAGAGCTGGGTTCCAGTGAGGTGGTAATATGGTTTAGATATGGTTTGTTCCCCAAGGATTGTGTGTTAGAAGCTTGGTCCCCAGAGTAGTGATAAGAGAGGTGGTGGGGCCTTTAAAAGTGGGACCAGATATCTTAGATCATTGGGGCTGATGCCCTCAGAAGAGTTTAACATAGTTCTTGTGGGATCCCAGTCTCTCACCATGTGATGTCTCCCTTTTACATTTACTCCCTCTTACACTTACCATCTGCCATGAGGTCCTTACCAGAGCTGAGCCAATTCTGGTAGCACTCCCTTGAACCTTTAGAACAGTGAGCTAAATAAACTTCTTTTCCTTATAAAG